AGTTTGAATGCTTTCCTTAGGGAGATGCCATGTTGTCATCATGGGTGTCAGCTCCATGGTGTATGAAAAACCCATTTCCTATGAGTGCTCTCAGCACAAAAAGCTTCCAGGGACCTGAAGTCAGCCTGGGCTTGCCACGTTTAGAGAAGAAAGCTCTTCTTTTTTTTTTAAAGCATTTTCTCTCTCTTCTGCATGAGGGGTTTGAGGGGACTCCAACAGGTATTTTACACTGATTAACCACACATTCAGTGGTTCCTGGGGGAGGGAACCTTTCAGCAGAGAGATGCAGAGGACGTGGAAAAGTCAAGGTGGTAGACAAGGGCTCTGGAACAGAAGGAACAGTGAGATGCATGGCAGGAGCTGAAGCCTGGCAAGCACCACAGGGAGGGACAGAGCGTGGTGAGAGAAGGCTGGAGACGTCTGCAGGGCAACAACACAAAGCCTTGGAGCCTTGGAGCTGTCCACTACAGTTTGGATCTGGAATATTCTGGAATGTTCTCTAAAGGCCTACTTGTTGGTCCCCGGGGGTGCTACGGGGGTCCCCGGCAGTGCAGATGTAGGAGGTGGGGCCTAGCAGGAAGAAGTTAGGTCACTGGAGGTGCCATTGAAGGGGATATTGGGACCTTGACCCCTTCCCCTCTCTCTTTCTGCTTCCCAACCGACCCTGAGGTGAACAGGTCTCTCCTCCCACATCCTCCCCATCATGATGGACTGTCCACCTCAGGCCCAAAGCAAGAGGGCCAGACTGAAACCTCTAAAACCACAAGCCACAGTAAACCTTTCCTCCTTATAACTTGATTACCTTAGGTATTTGTCACAGTAATGGAAGGTTTCAAGGAGAGCTCCAACACAGATTGCTGTCTGGGAGGAGCATGTAAAACCAAGCCAGCTTGGTCAAAGCAGCACATTCTCCTAATTGGGGAGGTTTATCTGACAGAACCTGAGAGAATCATTGAGACTCAGGCTCCCTTCCTTAGTAGGGTTGGGTCCCTCGGAGGATGTGGGTTAGAGCTGTTGCAGCCACTTTGTCACTGTAAGGCAATGCCTGTGGCAGGAAAAGCCAGGCACAGAGGAACAAAGCTGAAAGAAAGAAGAACTGGCCTGGTGCAGTCATTTGAGCCCCTTGATCGAGTTGCACCTGAAGCCCATATGAAATTCTTTATGTAGCCCAATAAATACCCTTTCCCTTAAGCCAGTTTGAGTTGGATTAACTGTCCCTTGAAGCAGACAAACTCCTGACTTATATAAAGAAAATAAAAGTGTCAAAGACAACAGGCTTTCAATTATTGCAACATATGAGAGTTCATAATCAAATAATTTTAGTCGGTATAATACAGACTAACTATATAGGCATAAGACTGTAAGTCATGATAAATCATTTAGTCAAATAACATCACCAGACCTGAGAACGGTGATGATCAAGTCTCTGAAATAGATAATTCTTACCTAATTTCAATACTGTTGTTTACTAAATATTCACAGTGAGGTCCTGCTGCTCCTGCAGGACTTGAGTTGTGCCTATTCTATGTCCTTCGAAATGCAGAAAGCCCCAGGGAAATTCTAGGGCAAGAGCTGTGTTAGCTTCTTGTTGCTTTGACCAAATACCTGACATAAGCAACTTAAAGGAGAAAGGGTGGCCCTCTCTTTCCAGCGGGCTAAGCAGGTTGCCGCCATGGGCATGGCCTGGAAAGAACATGTGACAAAATAGTGAGATGGTGGTCATCTTTAAGGCAAGAAGAAAGGCCTCCCTGGACACCACATCTGTTGGCACGCTGGTCTTGGACTTCCAGTCTCTAGAACTGGAGTCCTCCTTAAGAACACATGAAGAATAGAGGAAAAAATTACTTTTCCGTCCACTACATTCCAGACAACCAAATATTAAAAGATATGGGATCTAATGAATAGTCCTGATTATCTCCAGGAAATAAGAAGAGTGGCTTGCAAAGGAGGGCCATATCCTAGAATAACGCTTCTAACCTTGGCTTAAAAAGACATGAATAGACCAGCTAGGATAGTAGAGAAATCAGAAATAAATCTCAACATATATAGTCAACTACTTTTCCATAAGGGAATGAAGAAGAAATAACAGGCAACGTTCATTTAATATATAGCGCCAGAAAACTGACATTCTACATAGAAAAGAATGAAATTGTACCTTTTCCATACATCATACATAATAATCAACTCAAAATGGATAAAAGGCCTACATGAAAGACCTAAAACTGTAAAACCACTTGAAACAAACAGGGAATAAACTACTAGGCATTGACTGGCCTTGGGCATAGTGTTTTGGGTATCATGTTAGAAACTCAAGCTACAAGAGTAAAAGTAAATGGGACTACATCAAACTAAAAACCTTTTTGTATAGCAAAGAAAGCAAACAACAAAGTGAAACTGGCAGAAAATTCGTTACAAAAATATTGGCAAGGGCTGGGGATTTAGCTCAGTGGTTATACCACCTGCCTGAAAAGTGCAAGGACCCAAGTTCGATCCCTGGCACCAAAAAAAAAAAAAATATTGTCAAGCCATATATTTGATAAAGGTCAATCCTCAAAATTCATAGGAAAAAAATTCTTAAAACTCATACAACTCAATTGAAAAATTAGCAGAGGATCCAAATCGACACTTCTCCAAAGATGACACAAAAATGGACAATGGGCAGAACAAAGTGCTCAACATCAGTAATCATTAGGAAAAGGCAAGTCAAGGCATTATGAGTTATCACTTCCTATAGACTAAGATAGCTATTATCAAAAAAGATAAGACATAACAAGTATTGGCAAGGGATAAAAGGGAGCCATTGTACGCATGTAGGCATGTATATCCATTAAGGAATACAGTGTGAAGGTTTCTGAATTAATTAAAAGTGGAACTAACATATGACCCAATAACTCTCCTTCTGGGAAATGGCAAAAAGAAATAAAATCATAACCTCGTGTATATATCTGCACTCCTATGTTCATTGCAGCATTATTCCCCATGACCAAGACATGGAAACAAAGTTTCACATATGAAAAAATAAAGAAACTGGTCCATATGCACAGTGGAATAGTATTCAAGCTTTAAAAATAGATCTTGGTATTTTCCCCAGTGTAGATGACCCTAGAGAACATTAGGCTAAATGAAAAGGGAGATAAACCATGAACAGAAAGTCAAAGCCTGCGTTATCTCTCTTACATGTGGAGTCTAAAAAAACAAAGTTAAAATATATAATGATAGAGAATACAATAGTGACTGTCAGTAGTATATATCAAATATGTACCAGGTTTACATACTTGATACTTCAAAGTATCAGATATATAGGATGAAAAAATCTAGATATAGAATGTACAACATGAGGCCTACAGTAAAAAAAAAAATATATATATATATATATATATATACACACACACACACACACATATGGGACTTTTGCCAAATGGGTAGATGTTATTAGTTGTTTTTGTTACAAACCAAAACTGATTAAAAAAATGTAAGATAAATGAAATGATCATTTGCTTCAAAGTGGTAACTACTTTATTATCTGATGTATTACATAACATCATATTGTACATCTTTAATATGTAATAATATGTAATAATAAACATTATTTGAGGGAAAAAAAAAGGAGAAAGGGTGTATTTTGGCTCACAGTTTCAGAGGTTTCAGTCCATGGGATGCTGGCTCCAAGGCAGAAACATCACGATGGAAAGGCCTGGTAAAGGGAAGGTGCTCACTCCATGGCAGCCAGAAAGGAGAGAAAGGAAGGGGTTGGGAACCAAATGGAGGGCCCCAGGTCACACTCCATAATCCACTTCCTTCAATGAGCCCCACCTCCTGTTTCTAACACCTCCTAATACTCAAATTATGATCTCATCAGTGGGTTCATCCATGGATGAAGTTAGAACCTTTATAATTCAATCACTTCCCAAAAGTCCATCAGCAACCAAGCCTTCATGGCAACAGGCCATTTGGGGGATTGATCATAACCAACACATAACGGGTACATGAAACGTGTGGGAAATATAGGCTGAGAGGGCCTGCTCCAGATCATAGAGAGAAGGATGAACACCTTTGGTGCAGTGGTTTTATTCCCTTTTCTTTGGAATAAATATAGCTTTATATGGGGGGGGGGTCGTGTTGTTCTTGCTTTGTTGGTTTTGTTTTGGATTTTTGATGGCACTGGAGATTTAACTATCACATTGAACTACATCCCCAGCCCATTTTTATTTTGAGACAGTCTTGCTAGTCTCTAAATTGCACAGGTTGAGCTCGGACTTGTGAACCTCCTGCCTCAGCCTTCCAGAGTACTAGGATTACAGGCCCAGCAGTTCAAAAAATTGTAATCAAAATCAACAAACGAAGCACCAAACAAACTTCAAGGTTTTGAGCTTTTCTAATAAACAAATATTACAAAGTTGAAAACAGGAAGACAATGAAGACAATGCAACAGAGCTGAAAGACCAATGAATGTTTAAAGGTGAATGCTAAACCAGGCGTGGTGTCTCACACCTGTGATCCCAGCACTCGAGAGGCTGAGGCAAGAGGATCGCTGCGAGTTCCAGGGCAGCCTGGGATACATAGTGAGTTCAGGGCCAGCCTGAACTGCAAAGAGAGACCCTGCCTCAAAAAACAAAACAAAACAAAAAAGTTAATGCTAAAGTTCTTCAATGCACTTCTCAGCATCTCAAGTTGTCAGGGGAAAAAAACCTTCTGATGGTACACCTAGCTTTAATGGGACTGATTTACATTCTCAATCCGAATATAAAGACATCATGATGCGCCACGATTTTCCAAGCCCCCAAATTACAGACGCATTCAGGGTCACCGAACCCCTCCCATCCCCAGGTTTCTGCAAGCCATCAGAGAGTTGTCAGTGCAAGGCGGCCACACCACACATCCGGCTTCCCTCGCCCTCGGAAGACGGTCTTCCGGCCCCGCCCGCCCGGCATCCCCGGGGGGGAAGCCTCTGGAAGAGCGAAAACGGACACGCCGACCCCCCCGACCCCCCCTTCCCGTCCCTGGCGATTGTGCGCACACGCAGACACCTGCGAGCCTCGACGCACGCACGCACGCTGACGCACACACGGCCGGCCCACGCAGCCTCACTAGATCCGTGCCCCGCGCTGCGGCCGGCGGTGAGCACAGAGGAGGGGGCGGGGCCGCGGGCGCGGCTCTGGCGACCAAGCAGGGAGCAACAGGAGTCCACTGCCTGCGGGCGGCGGCGCCATGGAGGCCGAGCCGGGGCGGGAGTGCGGCGTTCCGGGCCAGATGCGACAGGAGGGCGCGCTGGCCCTGGCCGAGTTCGCGGCTGTGCACGGCTCGGCGCTGCGCGCCTCCGGCGTTCCCGAGCGGTACTGGGCCAGTCTCCTGCACAAGCTAGAGCACGAGGTGCGGGGATCTTGGGTGCGCGCCGCGAGAGGGCACCCTCTGTGGGAAGGCGCGGCGGGACCCCTGCCTGGGTTGGTGGTGGATGAGCTGGAGGCGCGATAAGCGGGCGGGCGGACCCTGCTTCCTCGGCAACTTAGCAACAGGCTGGAGCTTGCGACTGGAGTGACAACGAGAGATCGATCCTTGTGTCTTGAACCTCCAGGGCCCGGGCTGGGAACTGGAAGTAAAATGAATGAACTATCAACCTCATCTGCAGATGAGAAAACCGAGGCTTAGAAAAAGGCAGGATCTCGTCCAACCTCTCCCAGATCCAACCCCAGAAACTTTCTTTCAACCACGGACTCCCTGGGGAAAATAGGAGCCCGTGATTTTGTGTAACTTTGACTAGATGGTTAATAGGTCTCCCTTCATCGGATTTGAGCAGCAGGTCACCTTCATTATGCAAATTAGGGAGACCTGAGGCCGCGGTTGATGGAGAGGAAACTAAAGGAAAATGAAAAGGATTTAGAAACTAACGAGGCTCTCCCTCTTTGGAATACAGATCCATCTTGCTCACCTGCCTGCTCTAACCTGGACCTCCACGGGGTCTCCCGCTCATCCTGGCAGAGGCATGGGACCTGATTTCTGGGTGTTTGTCCGGGTCTGAAGTCAGCTTCAGGGCCTTTTTCTCAGCTGGAGCCAGGATCCTCCTGAGGGCACGGCTTCCAGGGCCGGCTAGTGAAGTAAAGTGGTGCAAGTGGCTAGGTGGAGCCCCAGAGCCAAAAGGAGGGCATCAAGTCAGGAACTAGGGATCTCCTGGGCCTGGGTGCTGGACACACCCCACCCTCCCTGAGTCAGCTTCTCTCTGAGTTCCCAGTTAGACCAGATAACTTACTGCTCAAAAATAGACAAATAGAGGCCTGGGATTTAGCTCAGTGGTTCCACCACCTGCTTCGCAAGTGCAAGGACCCGAGTTCCATCCCCAGTACAAAAAAAAGATAAGCATTTACAGATAATAGAAAAACTGCACTTTGAATTTTGCTTTTTTTTTTGGTACCAGCGATTGAACTCGGGTCTTTCCGCTTGCGAAGCAGGTGGCAGAACCACTGAGCTAGATCCCCAGCCTGAATTTTGCTTTTTTTCTTGGGCTAGTCATTTTTAGTAGCAGCCTCTTGAAATGGTGGGGGAGATATATGTATTTTTCTTTTTGCAGTACTGACGATTGAACCCAGGGTCTTTGCACTGAGCTTCATTCCCATCCCTTTTTTTATTGTGACGCAGGGTCTTGCTAAATTGCCAGTGCTGGGCTCGAGCTTTCGTTCCTACCTCAGCCTCCCATGGTGCTGGAATACAGACATGTACCACCATGCCTGGCTAGTTAAATGCATTTTTCGACCTACAATGTTTTCAGCTTACCTTAGGGTTTGTCTTCATAACTAATCATAATTTGAGCATCTGCGCTGGGTTCCAAAAAAAGTACCACATCTGTGGCACCTCCTTCCAGTGCAGTGTTTTGTTACTGTGGCTTCCCTTTGCCTCTAGCACTTGCCCTTAATTCCTGCCAGCATTTTTTGCATACTTGCCCTGGTGTCCCAGCCCTGTGCTGGGTGGAAGAGGATACCAGTTTCTTAAAAGGGTGCCCATTTGCTAGATGAAAGAGGAACAGTGTAGGAACACCCTAGCCCCTCCCCAGCCCGCCTCCAGGATGGTAGACCTTCACCCAGCCTGGTCACTTGTCCATTGCCCTGTGGGCAGGAAGGGTCGGGAGACATGAGCATCTGGCTCTTTGGGACTGAGGTCTGTATGGTGGCATGAGAACAAGCCTACTCGCTGCCCCTCTGCCCCACCACCCTGTCTGCTGTGCCCTACCCAGGGGCAGCTGGTGTTTTTCCATTAACCTACTGAGCCATTCTGGGCAGAGATGAATCACCACAATGCCAGACACTAACTCACAGCCATTGTGGCAGAGTGAGGCCTCCCACGGAGCCAGGTTTGGGCAGGAGCTCACCAGCAGAGAGCACACCAGGCCCATGCCTCTCGTGTCAGTTCCTCTGAAAGGATGGGCAACACTTTAAAAATAACAACCAGCTCCCCTGTGTGGGCTGCCAGCTGCAACTGCTGTCCTTGTTATCTCCCCAGCATCCTCTCCAGCCCCATTGGGTGGGGTTATGGGCACCCATGTCTGTGGCTTCCCCAGTGTCCCCCAGAAGGTTTGTGGTAGAGGCGGGATTTGAAGTACTGCCTGGGGCAGTGAGGCCTGGGGTGGGGGCTCACCCTCCTCCAAGGGAGCTCCTTTCCTCCACCACCCCCAAGCTGCAGGTTCACATCTTCACCTCTGATTGCATCTGCCCATCCAGAAAGCCCTGCCAGGCCCTCTGGGCACAGAGCAGTTTACCAGACCGACGCTCGCCCACCCTCGCTGTCTGTCGCACCAGACACAAGCATGCGTTATTCATCCTCGTCACCCACCACAGTTCCCGGTCCTGCCCGACACAAAGCAGCTGCTGAATAGGTAGCTGGTTTCCAACCACTGAAGAGTGGAGAGAGGTTTTAGGGAGGAACTATCCTTTGGGGAGCCTTATGAACACCATTTTATCTCATTCTTCCAGCTGTCCTGGAAGGTGGGTGACGCCCTGCTTTCAGTGAAGTGTCGGGGGGACCAAGTGCTTCCGTAGCACTTGCCTTGGTCCGAGCCCTGTTGTAAACCCTTTCAGTGTTAATCAGCTTATCCCCGCTGCCCCAGTCCTCTGAGGTGGGCCCAGTGACTGAGTAACTTGTTAAATGATCACATATGGAGGAAGTGGCAAAGCTTAAGCATTAGACCACATAGCCAGAGCCCCCGCCTTGATAGTGTGATGGTGCCTAGTGTGTGGGTCAGGGTTAGGGCTCCCTGGCCAGGGAAACCCAAGGACCAAGGCCCTTCTCTTCCCACCCCATCTTACCCTGAGAATAGCCCCAGGCCCCCTGGGGGTGTCTCCTGGACTGTCTTCTGGCCCCAGGGGCCACTGAGCTGCCCTTGCAATAGATTAGCTGTGGTGAGGGAGGTGGGGGTGCTCCCTGCCCACCAAGATCCTGAGTCCATCCAGTTCACCTCCAGAGGGACCAGAGCCACCCTCAGCCTTTGGGGCCTTCTTGTCCCTGTAAAACAAAAGACCTAGCTAGGGATACACAGTCCCATTTCCAAGCATGGTGTCCTGTGTGAGGAGAGGCCTTGGACAACAGCACAAGAGATAGTGGGTCCTTAGGAGACTCAGCTTCACCACCTATCAGAGCTTCTGCAGAAGTTGGCCGGTAAACAGGTCCTGCTGCTCAGAGCAGTTTGTCCTTGAGCCCTGGTTATAGCCCATAGGGACCCCAGAATCTGAGTCCTGGCTGCCGGGGAGAGGTTGGGGTGGGGTCGCCTGTCCATACCACCAGCTGACCTGTGCTCTGGCCCCCAGGTTTTCGATGCGGGGGAGAAGTTTGGGATAATGCAGGTGGAGGAGGCAGAAGAGGATGAAGATGAGGCCATCCAGGAAGGACGGAGAAAACAGCCCAACCCAGGGGGCGAGCTGTGCTACAAAGTCATCGTGACCAGCGAGAGTGGGCTCCAGGCTGACAACCCCAACAGGTAGGACACGAGCCCAGGCGTTGGTCATCTACACCATGACATTGAGGGCCTGGCTTCCTGTTGGAGATTTGACCAACAGGAAAAGCAGCAATAACTGCAAACCCTTGTGGCTTCCCTGTCCCACAGTCCTCAGGACCACCTCACAGCATGCTCATGTGGCAGTGCTGTTTCCACCTGGGCTGTTAGCATTCCCGTGGGCGTGTGCCTGACTTGTCCTAAGGGCACCTCCCTGTGACCTTCCTGTCACCGGGGTCCCACTGCAGGGGTACTGATGAGGAAGCAGACACCCAGGGGAAGGACTTAGGTAGGATCACCCAGTGGGCTGCGGACACCAATGCTGAACCCAGTACAGGCTGTTTCTGGGCCCAGTGTTTCTGAGGACCCCCAGCCCCTCCCCGGTCCTGCTGAATCGGAATCTCTGGGAAGGGTCCCAGGAAGTGGGACCTGAGACCTGGAGCAGGCCTGGTCTTCATGGTCCAGAGCCAAGACTACACTCGTGCTTTGTCTCCTGGGACCAGGCAGAGCTGTCCAAAGCCAGGACAGGCCTAGGGTTCCTCTGCCAAAGGCTCTGCAGGAGCCATAAGGATGGACCAGGCCGGCCTCCTGAGGGCCACTGGGGTCTGGCCTCTTCTCCCACCCTGTACTCTTCCTCGGGCTTGGTGCGGCGAACCTTGCATGCCCTTGGGCACAGCCACAGGGGACTTGGACACAGTGGCCGCCCCCAGGAATGCAGGTCTGAAGCACACACCACCCCCAGCCAGGCCTGGGTTCAGAGCCTGAGGTGGTAATTCCCGTTCCACTGTATTCTGAGCTTCCAGGATTGCTAGACCCCAAGTTCTCGCGTCCTCCCTCCTGGGCCCTGCCTGGGTATGGCACCCTCACCACGGCTGCCCATGGTCACCCACACCCAGGCACACATCCTGAAAGGCCTGGCTCTGGGCACTGCATTATGGCATCCTCAACTCTAAGCACAAGAGCAGGAATAAATCTTCATTTGTCTCAGGATACATAAACCAAAAAACTAATAGAGATACAGTGCAAGAAACACACCTGAGCTTGACCTGAGCTTTGCCATTCCTTGCATATTTCAAGGGGAGACAGAGTCATGTCATGGGCCACACAGAGTGCTGCTTTGCCTGTCCGAGTCCTGGGCACCTGAGCCTCCTGAGCCTGCAGGGCTCTGGCTGGGGCCTGGCAGCCTCCGTCCTGGGGCAGGAACACTGACCCCCACCACAGTTTGGGGAGCACTGTGTGCCTGTCTTTATTTCTCATTACTGAGATACACTACCCGACACACACAACTTAAAGGAGAGGGGTTTATTTTTTCTCTGCTTGTAGAGGTCTCAGTCCATTGTTGGCTGCTCCAAGGCAGGGCAGCAGGGCGGGGGAGGCTTGCCTATGGCATGACAGCCAAGCAGAGAGGTCAAGGGAGCGGGGAGGGAGATAAAGGCTTCCAGGCCATGCCCCAGCTCCTCCGGCCAGGCCTTGCCTCCCAAATCACATTCAGCTGTAAACTCATCCATGGACTAATCCATTAATGAGTATCGCACCTCCATGAGTCACTCACCTCTCAAAGAGGCTTTGGGAGGACATCTAGATATAACCATAGCAGAGCATGCAAAGGCCTTGCTGGGTCCAGAAGTCCTGGGTGTACGTGCACAAGGCTGTGCAGCCTCCCCCAGTGTGCGGAGTTTGAGCAGTGCAGGACCTGCAGGGAGCAGGAAGGGCAGTGCAGGCCTGGGGTTCACCTTATGTTAGTGAATTTAATTAGTGTTTGTCACAGTACTCGGGTCAACGTCCCAGGTCCTTGGACCCATGAGATGAGGTGCTTGTGATGAGAGGCGGGGAGCCCCAAAGGGCTTACTCAGGGACACACACTGAGTGGGCAGCAGAGCAGGGGCCTTGGCCCTACCCACTGGACTCCAGGACTGTGCACAACTACAGTGCTAGGGAAACTGAGTCTCAAAAGGATAGGGTGCCAAGTCCTGGCCACACCCCTGGGCCTCTTCCTGTCCCCTCTGGCCCTTTTTCCCTTTTTGCGGTGCCTATCTGGCAGCTCATGTGTGGCCCATGCCTGCAGCATCTTCCTCATCGACCACGCCTGGACGTGTCATGTGGAGCATGCACGCCAGCAGCTGCTGCAGGTGCCGGGGTTGCTGCACCGCATGGCCAACCTGATGGGCATTGAGTTCCATGGCGAGCTGCCCAGCGAGGAGGCCGTGGCCCTGGTGCTAGAGGAGATGTGGAAGTTCAACCAGACCTACCAACTGGCCCATGGGGTGAGCTGCTGAGGCCCAGGGTGGGGACAGCCCCAGGGAGGGGACCCAACCTGAGTCCCCACAACACAGCCCTCTCAGACCCTTCCACCCGGCTGCCCAGGGCCTGGCTCTTCCAATCCTGTTACTTGGTGGGTCCTCACCACCTTCAGGAAGACAGCCCAGCCCCTCCACCTGTCCTCAGGCCCTCGCCGTCCCTAGTCTGAGAACAGACATGCTTGCTCCCCAGGATTCAGCTTCGGTGCCACCTCCTCTGGAGCCTTTCCCAGACTCACAGCCCAACACACCCATGGAGCAGCTGGCAGAGCTGGTTGCTAGTTGCACGCACCTGTACACACCTATCCTCACACTGCTCACATAGCCCGTCCAGCAATGCCCCAGCTGGTCAAACGTTGGGTATAGAAGAGCCATAACTGAACATGGGTGGTTCCTGTGTGCCAGGGTGGACTGGTCTTGGTTTGGGGCACAGGAAAGGAGTTTAGCAAGCCCGGGCAGGGGCAGGAGACACGCGGACAGGGGTTGCCGCCGTCCCACCCGCAGACAGCCGAAGAGAAGATGCCGGTGTGGTACATCATGGATGAGTTCGGCTCGCGGATCCAGCATGCGGACGTGCCCAGCTTTGCCATGGCGCCCTTCTTCTACATGCCCCAGCGGGTGGCCTACACACTGCTGTGGCCCCTGAGGGACCTGGACACAGGCGGTAAGTCTGGTGCCCACCCATCTGCCTGCTCAGAGGATGGGCCTTGGTGGCCCGCCACCCCCACTGACAGCCACACATATCTTGGTGCAGAGGAGGTGACCAGGGACTTTGCCTATGGAGAGGCAGACCCGCTGATCCGGAAGTGCATGCTGCTGCCCTGGGCCCCCGCCGACATGCCGGACCTCAGCTCCTCCACGCCCGAGCCTCCCGCCGAGTACTACCAGGTGTGGCCCACCTTGGCGTCCACCCAGCCTGTTTGCTTGGCGGCTTCTGGAATGTTCTCTGTCCACTCATCAAAGGAGAATGGACGCTAGCTGGGGGCCAGGCGCTGAGTTGGTTACATGGGGAGGTGGGCAGGGTTCGGAGAGCACCCGAGAGACTAGGAGCTCGGAGGTCAGGGTGCAGGCAGGAGAGCCCCAGAGCCACACAGCCTGGACCCTAATCGGGTCCCCTGGTACCAGGTGCTGGGATGCAGTCTTTCCAGGGGTCAGGCTGCATGGTGTGCTCTTGTCCCCGGAGGGAAGACACTGCACTGGCCCTCAGTATCTGAAGGGAATGGGTCCCAGGACCCTCACAGATGACAAATCCTCCAGGTGCTCAAGTCCCTCATGTAAAACAGTGTAGTGTCTGCGTATGGAGTGCACACATCCGCCTGCATGCTGTAAGTCATCCCTGGATCGCCTCCAGAATCTAACATGCAGATACTGTGCAAATCATTACACTGTACTGTGTACTTGAGAACAGCATGTAGAAGTCTGTGTGCATGCCATGCAGACAATTTATTTTTAAATACTTTTGACCTCTCTGGGTTAGATCTGAGGATATGGACTCTGGATATGGAGGGCACTGTTTGTCACACGCTGTCTAAGACCTTTCCCAGCACACGGCAGGCCCTGACAGGGAACCCTCATGATCGTTGTTGCTGGGAGCAAAGCTACATACACTCCTCTCAATCGGAAGGGCCTGGCTGGTGGTGAGGGTGCACACAGGATCTATTGCCAGGGCCCACACGGTAGTCTGTGAGGCCCCAGGCAGGCAGAGGTAAAGGTACGGGCACACTCCCCTGTGTTCCTTGAGACTTCACACTTCTGTCCTTAATGTTCATTTTACTGAGAATGAGTGAACAGGCACAGAGAGGTTAAGGCAGAGGTCACACAGCTGGAAGGGTGAGGCTTCGTGGCTGAGACAGGCAGGACCTGGTGTCTCACAGTGTGCAGGAATGTGCGGAGGGACTAATGCCAGTGAGCTCGTGCTGGAGTGGCAGCACAGAGCCGCCAGTTGTGTCCTTCGTCCCCTCCCTGCCATGGTCCAGAGGTGGTTGGCCTTCGACCACCTGCGCCTGCTGGGTGGGTGCTCAGGGACTCTTGGGCCACAAGCAGTGGGTGCAGGCAAGGCAGGCGGGTGGCTTGGGGCCAGGCTCATCCTGGCCTTGAGGCTGTCTGTCCCTAGAAACCTGGATGCCCCACGCCAAATGGGCGAAGGTGGGAGTCAGACCTCGTCAGCAACATCTGTGTTCTCTCACATAGCCCACAGAATGGAGCCTGTGCTCAGGGCCCTGGTGTCACCTGTGTTGTTAAGCTGTGGCCATAAGAACTCCAGAGCTTAGCAGCTGCAGGAGCCACCACAGCTCACCTCACCCGGTGTCCAGGGCTCAGCAGGTGCCCCAGCCCGGCACTCATGGGCACACAGTCCCCGAAGGCTGCCCTCCAGGGCCGCAGTGTCTGATGCAGGGGCTCTGCTCCCACGCAGCGCTCCTGTGCCTGGCAAGGGTGCTGGTTGTGGCAGAGGTTCTTGGGTATGGGGCTCTGTGGGCCAGAGTATCCTCGGTGTATCCCCGGAAGGAGTGATCCAAGAGAAACCCAGGAGGAACCACAGGCCCCTGTGACTGCTCGGAAGCAGTGGTTGTCACTTCCCAGTGTCTGTCTGTCAACAGTGGCCCTTCTGGCCCAGCCCACCTCCAGGGTGGCCCAAGCTCCACCTCCAGAGCCCCTGGCTTTAACCCATCCCACAGCCTAAAGGAGCAGCCCTGGGGCAGGGATTTAGCTCAGTGGTTCCAGTGCCTGCCTCACAAGCCCAAGGTCCCGAGTTCGATCCCCAGGACCAAAAAACAAACAGGAGCAGCCCTGCAGGGATAGGCTGCACCTCCAAGGCACCTTCCCTTGTTTCGGAGGTGTCATTGACAAGATGGAGGGCAACGTGAACCTTGATCGTGTGACCCCAGTCGAGAGCCATTCAGGGGCTTGGAAGGTGCTGGGAGTGGCAGCTGCCAAGGCTCCCCCTAGGGACAGAGCTGGCAGCCAGGAGGGGAGGTGTATGTCCATTGCTCCCTTCCTCGAGTCTCCTACCTCGGCATGTTTCCTTCTAGGCCATTCTGGAGGAGAACAAGGAGAAACTGCCTCTTACCATCAGCCCAGCTCCCCATGCTCAAGACCACATTTTCAAGTACGTAGCTGCTCCTCTGCTCGCACTGGGCTGGGCCTCCTCCGACTCCCATGCTCACTGTGAGCCTGGCACACTCTGGGCACCATGGTGACAGGACACCGTGGTTGGTTCTTACCATTAGCAGGGAGAGGGGATGAGCTGGGCCCTGGAGGAGGAAGGCGTTAAGCTCACCCAGGAAGTCCGAAACAGGAGCAGGCCTCAGACGTGCTGGTAGTGGGCCAGGGGCCTCAGGCGGAAGCATCTGTTGCCCCACCCCTCCCACTCCTGCCCCTGCTCATGGGCTGGCTGGGGCCATGTAGGCACCTCCTTGAGGGCCCTTCCTGGAGTCTGCAGGTGTGGGTGGCAGCCCGGCTACCCCCTGCATTCCCTCCATTTTACAGGTGAGGAAGTGAGGTGCAGACAGCCAAGCCGAGCCCCTCGGCTGGCAGGGTCAGACCTCTGCCCTCAGGGGAGCCCCTTCCTGTAGGCCCCCAGACACCCTGCTCGGCTTCCCGAGCTTAGTCCAATCCCAGCAGCATCTGGGCCCTTTCCTGAGACACAGGTCGGGCTGGAACCCCGCCCCATCCCTCCACCTCTCCTGGGGCACAGGCCACATGGAGGCTGCCCTCGGTCCTCCCACGGTCCTCCCACCCAGTCAGGATTCACAGTCACTTTCAGCTGCCTAACCACTTGGTACTGGTGGCAGCACCCAGCCCGCCAAGCTCCTGTGCCACATGCCCCTCCCGCCCTCGTGCTCGCCCGGCAGGTGGGCTCCCAGGCCCCATCCCACCCCACCAGGTCGCCAGCAAGCTCCAGGGAATGTCCCTGGCACCGGACCCCTACTTGGAGGACTGAGTTCACTAAGACCTAAGCTATCCTGTTTCATCCTGGCAACACATGTGAGGTGAAGGCAGAAGGGCACGAGAGGCCCCATTCCTTGGCAGACAGCAGAGGGTGAAGGTCCAAGCCCGGCTCCTGGCATGGGCAGGAGCTCATCCATGGTGGCACAAGCCCACAGCCCGGCTCTTCCCTCCCTGCAGGGTCCACACGGATGTACAGCAGGTGCTGGGCCACCTCACCCACCCGCGCTTCACCTTCACCACGAGTGAGGCGGAGGCTGACGTCCTGTACCACTTCTCCCACTTCAAGGACTACAGGTGGGGGAGCCTCGCAGCCTGCAGGGGGCCCCCCATCCGAGGCCTGAGCCTCCCTCTGAGCCCACCTCGCCTGCCTCCGCCGCAGGAAGCTCAGCCAGGAGAGGCCGGGTGTGCTGCTAAACCAGTTCCCCTGCGAGAACCTGCTCACAGTGAAGGACTGCCTGGCCTCCATCTCCCGCCGGGCCGGGGGTCCAGAGGGCCCTGCCTGGCTGCCACGAACCTTCAACCTGCGTACTGAGCTGCCCCAGTTTGTCACCTACTTCCAGCAGCGGGAGAGGCGGTAAGGCTCTGACACAACCAGGCAAGTGGAGACCCTGGGGTGTCCTGTCGCACTCCTGTACCCACCTCGCCTCGTGGCCAGCCTGCTGTCAGCTGAGTCCTGCTGTGTGCCCGCCGTGGTGGGGATATGAGGTGCTTCTGCCCCAAGCAAGCACAGTCCCTGGGCTCCGACAAATGCCTCCCTGTCCCTAAGGCCCATTCTCCTTCACAACACCTCCGTCCCAGGAGACATGGCTGCCCCGCTGTTGACAGGGTCCTGGGCCCCAGTGCTGGAGGGCAGGCCATGGGGAGGGGAGCAGCCTAGCTAAGACCCTGTCCCCCAGGGGCGAGGACAACCACTGGATCTGCAAACCCTGGAACCTGGCCCGCAGCCTGGACACCCATGTCACCAGGAGCCTGCACAGTATCATCCGGCACCGGGAGAGCACCCCCAAGGTGGGCCACGGTGCTGCACAGAGAGGGGCCTAAAGGACATCCAGGCGTCGTGGAGACCTGGGGAGGGTCAGCAGGGAATCGGAACTGGGGCAGAGCCCAGCCTTCCCCTGTGCCATTGCAGTGGTTGTGCCAGTCTGGGTAAGAGCAGTGGAACCCCTGTCCAGGTGTGCCTGACCTCAGAGTCCCCAGCACGTGCTGCACCTGGTGATATGACCACCCGGGAGGAGGTCTAGGATGATGGTCCCACAGCAGTGGGTCATCCAGAAGCAGTTGGGAGATCTGAGGGCACAAAATGTACCTGGCCATGGCTGGAACAGGAGAACATCCCCATGACATAGGCTGGAAGGAAAGGGGCGGCCTGGACAGACACTGTGGGTGTCCAGGGCAGGAGATGGGGCTGGGTGGCGTCCGGTGAGACTTCTGTTTCCAAACCTGGAAACTGAGAGGGCTTTTGTCTTCAGCATAAAGATGTGTGTGTGGAATGTGCAGCAACCTAGACAGGCTGAAAGGCAGCTGTGGCCACCTGGGTGGCTTGGGGTCCAGGGTCCCTCTGGGGCAGAGATGGAGGAGCCCCCTCTGGGGGACCCAGCGTGCTGGGGAGGGGCTCTCCATCCTGCCCAGGTGAGGGGGAGCTGCCGGTGAGCCGCCTCTGCCCTCCAGGTCGTGTCCAAGTACATCGAGAATCCCGTCCTGTTCCTCCGTGAGGACGTGGGCAGTGTCAAGTTCGACATCCGCTACATTGTGCTGCTGCGCTCCGTGAAACCGCTGAGGCTGTTCGTGTATGACGTGTTCTGGCTGCGCTTCTCCAACCGGTAACGGGTTCCCTGGGTCAGGGGCTGGGAGGCGGGCGGGGGTCCTCCCTGCTCGTGCGGTCACATCGCCTGCGGTTGAGTCTCCTCTGCCCTGTGACCCCTGGGAGCTCAGCAGCGATGACTCGCCCTTGTCCCCTCTGAGAGCCAGCACCTGTGCTGCAGTGTGCATGGCGTCTGGGAGACGGGCGTCGCCACGTGAGAATCATGGGGCCGGCTCGTGGCCATGGGGAATCTTCACAGTTAGCGCCAAGCTCACCCAGCTCAACTCGAGCGGGGAGGCAGAGGGAAGGTTCGGTCTGTGGGCAGCACGGAGGTGGGCCGCAGAGTTCAGGAGCCCCCAGGCATCTCCGTGTCTCCTTCTCACACTCCAGACCCTTCGAGCTCAACGACCTGGACGACTACGAGAAGCATTTCACCGTCATGAACTACGACCCGCATGCGGTACTAAAGCAGGTGGGGCCCAGGGAGCGGGTTCCAAGTCCTGGCTGTCAGAGGCAATCTTTAAAGCAGCTATGACGACTAGCCCCTGGTCCTGTGTTCTCAGAGTCCCCCTGTGGTGCCAAAGAGGACTTGCTCTGTTGGCGATCGTGGGGGTGTGGTCCTCAGGTGTGAGGCAGGTCAGAGCTCAGAGCAGAGGGGTCTCCCCGGAAGAGGGGCTCCTGTCTCTGCAGCACCTATGAGCACAGGGACTGGGGAGGAGCCACCCAGATCTGGAGTCTCCTGCGTGTCCGTCCTCTCCTGCCCCACAGCAGGCACTTGGCTGGTTCTGCTGTCTGCATGCCAGAGCTACATAAGGCGTCAGATGAAGCCCCTTCCCAGGTGCCTGCAGCAGCACGCCTGGGACCTGCAGACACCTGCACAAGGGCCAGGGGCCAGCTCTGCGTCCTGGAAGGAGGGACTCATCACCCCAAAGTCCTGTGTGCCCTGCTGGCTGGTTGACAAGTACTTCAGGCAAACAGAACGCTGAGCAGGCCCTCTCCTGTGCATGTGATTGTCTGTCGTTCCCAGGTGCAGCTTGATTCTCAGTAGCACAAGGGCATTCCTGAACAGTCCAGACTGCTGTGTCCCGTAGGTGGCATTTGTACAGATGCTGTGTGATTGAACATGTCCTTCTGCCTCTCTTTTTGTGCCAGACACTGTGTTTTGTGATGCATCGTGTTATACCGGAGAATTCCCACAAAGGGAGCTACCACATCAGAGTGGCTGAGCTGACAGGCACCTTGCAGGGACCATGTTCCCCTTGTCCATGCCTGTGCTTAAAGCCGGGACCCAGGCACCCATCAGGCCTCAGGATGATGTTGGAAGTCACCCCTGAGGGAGCTGAGCCCCTTCCCTCTGCGTTGTGAGGCATCTAGGAACCCTGGGATGGGGGCACATGGACACAGGGCTTCCACAGGGCCCACCCCGACATGTCCTCTGGGAGAAATCTGGGCAGCTTCTCCCTGTGCAGGGCTTCTCCCTGGGTGAGGTCTTGGCCTGGAAAATCTTGCTGTCCTTTTGATACTTCAAGACCAGTACAGCTTGGTGACACAGGCAGGACCCTGCAGGCTCAGGGTGGTGCAGGCTCTGCTGAGGGCACCTTTCTGGGCTGGGCACAGTGACTCAGGCCTGGCAGCCTCCCTAGTCCTCAGCATTCAGTGCCTCACTAGAGCCTGCAGTTTACTACCAGGAAGGTTCCCAGAGGTTTCACGGAGAAGGAAACTGAGGCTCAGAGAGGTTGCTCTACTTGTCTGAAGTCGTACAGTAGATCCAGCCTTCAACCCAGTGTCTTGCCCCCCTTTGTACCCTGAAGGGATGGGTCTGGACACTGAGCCTAGCACATTGCAAGGCCCCAGGGAACAGCAGGCACAGGCCTCTCCCCAGAGGAGTCCCCAGCACAGCATGTGCGCCTCCTGTCTTACAGGTGCATTACGACGAGTTCATCCCCCAGTTTGAGAAGCAGTACCCAGAGTTTCCCTGGAGTGGTGTGCAGGTGAGACCTGAGTGCCCGGGGCCAGGGCCCTGCAGCAGCCACCCCTGCCCTCCCAGCTGGCGGGGGTCTTTGCCTCTCCAGATAGCCCTCCTCCTCGAAGCCTAGTGCCACTGGCCAAGCAGAGACCATCCCCTCCACTCAGGTCCTGGGTGGGGTGTCACGGAGGATCCTCAGCAGGAGGGCATCACCCAGAGGGGCATTTGGGGCACCCCCTGGGACAGCCAGTGGACAACCGGCTCCACCTGCCTTGGGCCGGCCATCCGGGTCCTGAATGGAACTGCCAGGTGCTGCGGCAGAAGGGCAGATTCATGGATATGACTCCAAGGCTGAGGTGCCCCTGAGGCAGAGCAGTTACCAAGCATGCAGGAGCCCCAAGTTCCGTCCTGACTCCAGAAATGAGGGGGCAGATATGTGGGAGGTGACCAGAAACAAGTGCAGAAACGGGCCATTTGGGGGCAGGCCTCAGGCAGAGCCATGAAACCTGTCTTAAGAGGCTGCTCAGGGGCCCAAGCAGCCCCTGACTCGGCCCCGCATTCCCAGGCTGAGATCTTCCGGGCCTTCACGGAGCTGTTCCAGGTAGCATGTGCCAAGCCACCACCCCTGGGTCTCTGTGACTACCCCTCATCCCGGGCCGTGTATGCTGTGGACCTCATGCTGAAGTGGGACACCCGCCCAGATGGTGAGGGGCTCCCCCATCCTATAGCCCAACACCCCCCCAGCCCCATCAGTGCTGCTAGGGTACCCTTTGCCTGCAGCCCAGGGTAAAGAGGGATGGTGGCAGGCTGGGGCCGGCGGCAGCAGGGAATCCACAGGATGGGTTGGTGGAAGCACTGTCCCCACACAGCCCTGGCCAGGCTGCCCTTTGTGACTAAGGCGAAGGGCTAAGCTGTGGCACTGCTTCCCCTGTGCCTCATGCCATGGGAATTGGGGCGAGGCTGTGCACTTCCCAGGCTGCCCACCACCTGCTCTGCTCTGCCTCAGGGACTCGAGCCATGCAGCCGCAGATCCTGGAGGTGAACTTCAACCCTGACTGCGAGCGGGCCTGCAAGTACCACCCCTCCTTCTTCAATGACATCTTCAGCACCTTGTTCCTGGACCAGCCTGGCGGCTGCCAGGTCACAAGCCTCATCTAGGCCCTGTGGCCCCTGCCACAAGTGGCCAAGATGCCGTTCCAGCCTCACCCTCTGCGCTGCTCTGCAGAGCCCCTCCCTGGCCACCTCCCTGCCTCCTCCTCCTGGGGCAGCCCCGGTTCCCCCTCCAAACCCTGGCCTTCCTGGGACCATCGGCCCACCACACACCGGCGCCACAGAGCCTGCCTACCCCACCCCTCTCCGCTCCTCTCCGCCCTTTGTGGGCTGAGGAGTGTCCCTGTCCCTGAGAGCTTATCCCCAGCTGCCTCGTTGCAGAGGTCTTAGGGGAAAGGGGTTCCCTGGAGCCCTGTATCACATAGGCCAGGCCTTGTCTCCAGTCTGCCGTCAGCGAGTGGCTCCCCTGAGTGGAAATCTGTCTGCACCCACAAGGCTGTGTGATGGGCCCCAGAACCATCACCACACACCAAGACTCCAGAAGGAAGCTGGCTCCTTAGGGTCCCTGCCTCCCTAGGGCCTCTGGGCTCACTGAGCACCTCACCAGGCCCCGGCTACCTCTTGAGATGGGTGGCACTCTGGGGACAGGACAAGGGGCTGGGTCAAGAGTGAGCGCTAATGTGGTTCCAAGCAGGCTTTGCTAGTCTCCTCCGAGGTCCAGAGTCAGAATGTCAGGTTGATAGGATTTTTATTTTGGGGAGGAAAATGTAAAATTTCCAGTTCTTCTAATTTCATGTTTTGTGTCACTGCAGTGCACCTGACTCAGGTAAGTGGCACTGACTCCCAGTGGCTGGAGCTGCTTCTGGAGCCTCCCCCTGCACAGGGGAGCAGGGCAGGGCATCAAGTGTTGCATTTTTGAAGCCAAAACCACCCCTTCCTTAGCAGAGCCCGACTCCATCTCTGTCCCAGGGCCCCTTAGTGGGGCACTGCACTCCAGCCCGACGGCTGCTGCCACAGCTGAACAGGGGTCCTGTAATTCTCCCCTTCTTCGCTGGATTTGTACCTCAATAAAGTTGGCCTTTTTTTGCCTGTGCCCCTTCCTATTACGACTGTGTCTACCTGCTAGTGTAAACAAGTCACAGAGTGCTTAGACCTCTGAGCCGCTGGCCCAGTTTGGTTTCCAAGCATTGGTCCTAGTTCACAGGGCAGAGGTGCAAAGGCAGGGCCCATCCCGGCTCCTGTGCTCAGGTCTGGTGGCCTCGGGGACTGGTGTTCCTGCACTGCCTGCTTGTCCTGGGAGTAGGGCCATGAGACACCCCCGCTTTTGTCAGTCAAGAGGGCTCAGTGCCAGATCAGATGGGGGTCAGTGTGAGTTGTAATGGCGCCACCTGCTGGCCAGGGAGGTTTAAACTCGGAAGGCACCACAGCTGCGGAGAGCCTACCTCTAAAACTGGGTTGATTGTCCAGAAGCCTAGTGGGAATGTGCTCTTGCTGATCCCAGCTCACCAAAAACAGGCTGCCTTCCCCTCATAGATAAGCTTGACATCGCTGCTACTAGCCATCCCTCTAGCCAGGCACGTGGACGTGCCCAGGCAGTTGCCATGGAGATGGCACCTACCCCACTGAGTGCTTCCCGGGCTAGTCACTGGCTCTGCTTTGGGAATTCATCCAAAGTCCAGATGTGCTGTACTGGGCAGTGCAGAGGAAATCCCGAGTGACATCTGCAAAGCATCCATGATGATGCTCTGGCTGCACAAACCCAGTGGTGACAGTTGTGTCACAGGTGTTGACAAGTGGCAGGATCTTACTGTACCGGACAGGCCTAGCCCAGAATGGCCAGCCACAAAACGGGTGCTTGGTAGACTCCAGTCACCGTGAGCCCTCCTATGGCAGGGAGGGGGTGCTGGGCTTCGAACCCAGGGCCTCACACATGCCAAGCAAGCATTCTACCCCTGAGCTACATCCTCAGCCCTTTTAGTTTTAAGACGGTCTCACTAGCTCAAGCTGGTCTTGAACTTGTGATCCTCCTGCCTCAGCCTCCTAGGTAGCTGGGATTACAGGCATGTGCCAGCATCTCCAGCTGGCTGCCTTTCCTGTGCTGTGTCAACAGCCTTGTGCACCCAGATGGTACTGGAAGCCAGTGTGTAGAGGGACTCAGCAAACCTGTGGGCTGTGCGCTTCCTTCAGATCAGCAGCACGGAAGTTGTCACAACCCTGTCCCTGACAGACGGTGACTGGAGCGGGTGCTCTCCTATGGTGAACCAGGGAAAAGCTCCCTCCCTGTCTTTCCAGGGTGGCCAGCAGGAAGTGGGACACTTAAGCATTGCTGTGGGCGGGTGAGCATTGCCAAAGAGCCCAGAAGTCTGCAGGGCACTGTCCCTACGTTCACCATGCCTGGTGCGTGTCGAATGCCTGTGACACATGTGGAAGGCTGCACATGGGGTGACACCTCCAAATCCGCGTGGGTCTGGGGGGTTGGTGCTGGCCAGTTTGTTGTTTGTGGGGTCACCCCTAGAGGGAGAGAAGCTGGTACCCAGGGGATCAGCTGGCATCCCCAGCTCTGCCCTGGGCAAGACCAGCTGAGGCCTCCTGGGGCCGGGCAGAGACACTGACCTGTGGTTGTGGGCCTGGGCTGAGCGCCCTGGAAGCAGTGACAAGGTGACAGCCCATGCCCCGGCTCCAGGCCCCCACCTCACAGGGCTTCAGGAGGTCCTGAGAAGGGTGTGGGAGCCCTGGCTGGATGATGCGGCCCCGGCAGACCCAGCCCGGGCCCTTGCGTGGCCACAGCCCTTGCCCAGCTACGCAGACCACTGCATAGGAGGTCTGAATTTTATTTGGTTATAAAATGCTGTGCCCTGAGAGCTGGGTGCAGCCCTTGCAGAAGCACAGGACACGTTCCCACGTGGGGCTCGGCCTGGGTCACCTCTGAGCCGCTGCTGACCCTGGGCCGAGTCACCGACAGACCCTGTGTCACCACACCAAGGGCGCCTGGTTGGGCCTGGCCACAGTTCTCCGCAGCCCAGGCACCCTTACTCTGGGATCTGCCGGCCACCGCGGCGCCCGTGGTTATCCCGCCATATTCGGTAGTTAAGTGTGGTCGCGAAGGCCAGCCAGGCCAGGTACGGGTAGAGCAGGCGGGCGGCCGATGGGCTCACATGGTGCCAGGCCACAGCCGTAGCTGTTGCTGCCCCGCTGACGAGCAGGAGGTCCACCAGGGCCTGGGGAGACACGGGGGACAGGGAGGCTGAGGCCGCACTGCCACCCACAGCTCCAGCCTCCCCCACCCTTGAGCACCTCCCCATCCTCAGACTGTTTCCTCGCCTGTAAAATGGGGACGAGGCACTTCTGCCTGACCTGTGCCAGGTGCAGGCCGTGCTGAGGGGAACACAACACATCCTGGAGCCAGGTGCTGACCTCCCTACACCACTGCAAGCCCCAACAGCCTTGCTATAAACTGTCAAGTGCTGCTAGACGTGGTAGCCCATGCCAGTAATCCCAGCACTCTGAAAGGCTGAGGCAGGAGAATCACAAGTTCCAGCCTAGGGCTGGGGATTTAGCTCAGTGGTTGCGGGGCCTGCCTCACAAGCCCAAGGTCCCAAGTTCGATCCCCGGTACCAAAAAAAAAACAAGTTCCAGCCCAGCCAAGGCAACTTAGTAACTTAGCCAGACCCTTCCCCACTGCCCCCGCTGCCCCTACCTGTGGGCGCTGCTCCTGTCTGAGATTCGCCACCCCAAATCCTCCAAGGGCTTCCCTGGGGACCAGAGACTCACAAAGCCACACTTACCCAACCCATCTGCCGGGCACCAAAGAAGATGGGAGGCCACGCCCAGTTCAGGGCCAGCTGACCCGCGTAGAGGCCCAGGGGAACCATGGCCTCCTCAGTGAAGCCCCCCAGCTCCTTCCAGACCATGTAGGATCCATACCTGGAACAGAGGCCACGGGTCAGGACACCACAGGGGGAGAAAGCCCGGAGCCTCACCCACCTGCTACCCTGCCAGTGACTGGTATGTGACTTCAGGAGAACGGCTACACCTCTCTGGGCCTTTGCTTCTTGTAGGATTACTGTGAGGACTGGAGTTGACGCACTGGCAGAGCCTAGTATGGTACCTGGCACACAAGACATTCAATAAATATTTGCCAGTGTTATCATCCTTACTACAAAGAGGGAAGCACACGGGCCATGTGGATAAAGCCAGGGCCACTGCACATAGGAGGGAGTATTTGGGCTGACCTTAGAGAATGAGTAGGAGTTTGCCAGGGAGAGGAAAAGGCTTGGAGGCCAGGGTGAGACCCTGACTCAGTGTCCAGGGCCTCGAGGGCCTCGGGGGCAGCAGAAGGGCTGGGCCAGCTGTGACCTGCTGATCCGGCACTGGAGGTACCAGAATGGGGAGAACGTGGAGCCCAGGAAGTGTGCACAGTCTGACTGGGTGGGACCTGGCCAGCCGCAGGTGCAGCCCAGTGACACCACCAGACCCAGCCTGGCCTCTGCCACCTGTCCCCAGGGTGCCTGGCACCTGCAGACCCTTCCCAGAAGCAGGGTGGGGGTGACCTCCCAGCACACCCTGGGGTATGGTCCCTACTACACCCAGCAGGGGATGCCCTCCCCCAGCACTAGTTGTCACAGGGGACTCTGAGGCCAGATTTGGGGAGGGGCTCCTTCAGGATCCCCACTTGCTACCCTGTGTCCCTGCAAGGTCCCTTGTCCAACAGGGGACTCTAAAAATCAGGCACAAGAAGTCTGGCACAAGTTGCTGTGCTCGGTGTTTATCTTGGAGCGTGTTCCCCTCAGGGTGGCAACCTTTACCCTGCCCAGCTGGCCAGGACAGTGGGGTGAGTGTGCTCCGGGATGCTCTTCAAGAGGCCCAGGAGAAGAAATTTTAATTGTGCAACCCACAGGCCTCCCTCCCTGGCTGGGAACAGTGCTATCCCTGCTCCACGCTGCCCTCTGTGATGAGCACCGTGCCTGCCCCGGGAACGCACACCTACCCCATGGCCGAGTAGAGCGTGCCCCAGACAGGAGCCAGCGCCCAGCGCGGCGGGTGCCACGAGGGCTTCTGCAGGGTGTCATACCAGCGGAGCCCCTCACCACGGACGAAGTAGGAGCCCACGAAGCCCCCCAGGTTGGGCACAAGCGTGAGGCCCACAGCAGGCACCAAGGGTGGAGCCATGGTTACTGTCTCGGAGGCTCTGGAAGAGAAGAGGGCCAGGGTGAGGGCCTTTCCCAAGGACACTGGGTCAGCCTGTCATCACCATCAAGACCCCACACCCTGTCACCCCAGAACGGATGGACCAACCAGGTGGGGTTCCCCAGGTCAAGCGCCAGCCTCGGGAACCCTCCAAGCTACACTTCCAGCCCTTTTTAATTTTATTTTGAGGCAGGGTCTCACAAAGTTGCCCAGGCTGTCCTTGAACCTGCCATCCACCTGCCTCAGCCTCTGGAGTACCAGGATTACAGGTGTGCCACTGTGCCCAGCAAGGTCTGTGCTTTATGTTCTAGCCCCTCAGCTCCTCATTCATTCATTCAATGCCTGGAAGACAGATCTTGGCTCCCTCAAATCCCTGATCCCCACCAACTGACCTCAACCAAATCTGACCTCAACCAAATCACTTCCACACTTTCACTCAGTATCTGTTACCTGAATCCACCACTTCTGCTGCTCAGCCTGACACCTGGACCCAGACCTGCTCACAGCTGCCAGGGACCCTTTCACCCGGCCACCCCCTGCAGCCTCAGCTCCCTGATCCTCAGGGATTCCTGTCCTCCTGGGTCAAGAAGGGGGTCTAAATTTGAACATAAACTGACCACATGCAAGCGCAGGATTTGGGGGCATTTGGTATATTCCCATTCCATCACCCAAAGAAATCCAAGCCATCACCAGTCATTGCCCGGGCCTTCCCCAGCCCCTGTACCAGGCGACCCCCCCTGGGATCTTCCCTGGGTCCCCCAGATCCACCTTGGGTCCCCCAGACATTCCTGTCCCCAAGGTCCCACAGTGCATGGCTCTGCTGCTGCCTCCCTTCCCTAGGCACCCCAATTTGGAGGTTCACCGCCTTATACACAAAGAAATATTTCTCCCCAGTATCTGGGGGCACAATGTACCTTTCACTTGGCCACAGCCCCCAGCCCAGACCAGGCCCCCACTTGGGCCCAGGAATCCCCCTTCCAAGATGGGCTGGCTGTCCCTGCTACTGGGACCCCACACCCATGACTCCCAATGCACTGGATAAGCCAAGGCAATGCAGGAACGGTGGCTTTCAAGGCCCCAGTGAGACAGGAAGGGCCCTGGCACTGGCGTCTGGGAGCTGCCCTGGAAAGGGCCAGGCTGTGTTTCCGTTCTGCTGGCCCAAGGGCTCCTGAGGACAGAGGAGGGCAGGACACTTCCTGGGGCCTCCCAGGCACTGCCAGCTCCTGAATCCTTCGTCTAGGGAGGCAGGAAGGCAGAGGGTGGGACCCACAAGCTGAGTCACCCAGGCCCGGCCAGCCAGAACAGGGAGCCAGGAGGGTGGGGACTGGGGTAAGGAGCTTGGGCGGAGGGGCAGAGCCACCCACCTGCCCATAGTTTCTCTCTCCCCAGAAGGAAAATAAGCTTGGCCAAGCCCCCAGCCTACTGGGTGACCGAAGCCTGCTCCTCCTGTGCCTGGTAGGTGTGTCCTCTCTGCCCCAAGAGAAAGGGGCAGGACAGCAAGCACTCCCCTCCCGGAAGACTCCAGACCAGCGAGGGGCCGTGGGTGTCAGTCTAGGGGACTACTCACCCCATTTCTCCAGGGAAACAGATGAAGAAATTGGAGCTAGGCAGTCACAGAACATTTTAGGTCTGCATGACTCCTGTGTCACCTCCCTCAGGCTGCAGCTGCCATCACTCACCTCTGCCCAGCGCCAGGAGGTTCCCTGGGGCCAACAGCAGTGGTCTGCCACCTGCAGGGCCAGGGTCCCAGCCCCAGGTCTCCGTCCCTCCTAGGTACGGCCAGTAGAGGACCTGGAATCTCTCCCACAGAGGGTGGGACCCAGGATCTCCCATCTGGTGACATTTCGCACTGGCCAGGAGACCCCAGTGCTGGGTCTCATCTCCTGGGGCTCTGCATCCCCATCCGTGAAGTGGGGCTGGGTCACTGCATTTGGGGTCCCTGTTCTGAAACCCCTAAAGCCAGAAACCCTGAACCAGGATGGACTTGCGTCCTCTCTGGTCCACTCTCTTCCCTGCACCAGCTAGGTGCCCCTAAGCCTTGGTGTCCCAGGGATGATTTTAACCCTCATTACATCTGTGAGCCTTTTTTTTTCAGTACCAGGGATCGAACTCAGGACTTTGTGCTTTTCAGACAGGCACAGTGCCACTGAGCCACATCCCTGGCCCCATCTGTGAGCTTCTTTCACTGCTAAAGTAACCCGAGTGGCTGGACCCACAGCCAACCGAAACGGGGAGGTCTGCGGCGCTGGGAAGTTGCTTCATGAAGAGTGACCGCTTTTTTTTTTTTTTGGTACTGGGGATCGGGTCCTTGCGCTTGCGCAGCAGGTGGCGAAACCACTGAGCTAAATCCCCGGCCCGAGGGATCGCTTTTTAAAACAGAGAAAGCCGAAGGGCTGGAGATTTAGCTCAGTGGTGCCGCCGCCTGCCTCGCAAGCGCAAGGTCCTGAGTTCAATCCCCCGTATCAAAAAAAAAAAAAGAGAAAGAGAGAGAAAGCCTTCCAGCGCCGCCTACACCGTCAAAACAAGTGAAACGCAAGCAGAACAAGCATTCAAAAGTCAAATAATGGGGGGAGCAGTCAAATAATTCAAAGCTAAGCCGTCTGTCGGCCCAAGCCAGGCACTTGTCCCTGAGGGAGGAAACAGGCTTTGGGACCGGAGCTCCCGGCTCCCCCACTACAGCCAACCTCAGTTTCCCCCAGTCCCAAGCCTTCTTTGGACGCCTGGGATTCCCGCCCCTTACAAGGATTGGTTCCCCTGTGCGCCTGGCTTCTCGCTCCCCTCCAGGCAGCGCAAACCTTCCCGGGAGCCCTCCCTGCCTGCAACCGGCGGGGCCCGAGCTCCCGGAGTCCCGCAGCGCAGCTGTCCCGCCTGAGGACGCGGCGGCCCAGCCGCAAGTGCTCCAAGGGCCCACGCTCGGCTCTAGCCTCAGTTTACCCTCTGGCCCTGCGCCGCCCGAGTCGCACGCGCGGCCCCCTACCCCAGCCCGGGCGCCACTCACCGCTCTCCGGAAGCCACTGAGCGGGGACGGCCGAGTCCCCGCCCCGCCCGGTCCCGCCCTGCTCCCCGCCCTGGGAGCTGAGGCGGAGGCACAGGTCCAGTGCTGGTTCGGGCTGGTGGCCGGGCAGGGAGCCTCGCTGCTCCAATCTGTGAAATAGGGTGACGGAGCCCCAGCTCAGAGAGGGGAAAGCACCTCTCCCGCAGAGCCCGGCAAGTCCGGCAGCGCCAGGACCTGACCCTCCAGGGCTTAGTCCGGCCTGGTGGCCTCCAGAGCCTCATCTATGAAATGGGCACGCCCCGGTGGGACCGATAAGGATGCCTCCCATAATGCGGGCACGGTGCCCACAGACATGTGGTGCTGTGTGAGCAGAAGTGGCCCCCACTGAGCCAGGGTCACCCTCACCCACCACCCACAGGTGTGGCTCTGCTTCGCTGTCCCCAACCCCTCAGCTGGCTCGCCTGGCTGTGCCCCTCAGCCCACACCAACCCCAGGGTCGACACAGGGAGAGCAGGACAGCAGCATGGTGGCCTGGAGACTCCCTGGGGACCAGCCAGGGTTGCAGTGTGACTACTTTTCAAGGACCTGCATATATATTACACATAAATTTTTAAATACTATATATTTTCATATTATATATGTATTTTTTACTGTATTGGTGAAAAGTCAAGTATAACTCAGGCTAGATTCATCTCTTTCTTCTGATTAAAAAACATAATAAACATATTTCTGCCCCTAGAGGTAAGGTGGTCCTGGCACTGTGCCTGCTGTCCCCAGTGGAGATGTCACCTGGCGACACTGGCACAGCACTGCCATCCCTCCCCCTCTTCCTGTAAGGGACTGGGTTGACGATGCCTCCCCACCCTCTCTCCAACTGTGCACAGGGCTGGGAGCCAAGGGGCCCCTGGAGAAGGTGATTTCTGCCCTCAGATCCCTGCTGCTGAGGAACACTCAGGCCACCACCCCTGGGGAGCTGGCACCCATTCAGAGAGGAGGATTCTGTGGGTCGCTCCAAGCTGCCGCTGAGCTGCTGCCCCTGGCATCCACGCTGCAGGTGTGGATGTCCCACGTCCACCAGCCTCCCTGTGACTTCCACCTCCCTCCCTCTATCCACTGTCCCCAGCTCCCTGCTTGTCCCCCAGCTGCTACATCTAACATGACAGAAGGGAAACTGAAATTCCTCCATTATGGAAGATATATTGTAACTATGACCACAGTTTAATGCAAACTCACTAGAGCAAAATGATCTTGGAAAGCCCTGCCAAACCTCCCTGCTCCCCCTTCTCTGCCCCTCTGCTTGTGTCTGGTATTTCCCCAGCAACCACTGCTGCTGTTTCCCCTTCTCTAGAAACATAGATCTGTAAAAATGGAAGTAAACTGCTGTTCAGCACTCTCGAGGTGATTTGAATCCCTTGCTGAGCTGCTGGCTAATAAAGCTGCTTTTTGATCCTACTCCATACCCAGTGGTCTGTCTGGGAATCCTGCACATCAGTCACTCTTCATGACCACGCCCTACTTTGTGGCTCCCACTGCCATGGACCCAGCCAAGCTCTGGCACAAGTCAACTCCCAAACTTCCACATCTGAGACTCTGCACACACTGCCCCCTGCCTGGACACCCTGTGCCCACCTTGGGCATCTCCATGTGTCAGTCCCAGCATCCCCTGGGAGGCTCCTCCAGAACTCAACCCTGTATCCCCATCCTCAGGGCCACTGAGCTCCGCCCCTCTGAAGTGCACAGCACTGAGCAGGGGCAGCGGGGCGGGGGGGTCTCCTGAGAATCTGGGCCGGCCAACCTCTTCCAGACTCCAGAGGATTGAGCCCAGCTCCTGGGCCCATGGAGGGGAAGAGACTCCCCCAGGCCACCAGCTCAAGGTCAGGGTCACACCCAGGAAATCCAGCTCACTCTCAGTCACTGCCTGGGACAGCTTCTCAGCTCCGAGTGTGACTGGAGAGCTATCAAGGCCAGGGCCAGGAGCCTCAATCTCCTGCAAGGCAATAGGACACAAGGCGAAAGAAAGACACAGAAACAAGGCTTAAACAAATAGTGAGGAACTGGGATGGGCCATGCCAAACATATGGCAATGAGGCAGAGCATGTGTCGAGGACCACAAGCAACCAGGCCCATCGGTATGTATTGATTATACAGGTGTAGGCAAGAACGGGGTAGGGGAACTCGTGTGGCATCCAGTGATATCAGCTGACACAGGCAAGACTTGTAGAAAGGAGGATCAGGCATACTTGTGGAACTGACCAAAAGTAGGTTATGGTTAACTAGTAAGTTACTGAAAACAGTGAAGGGTTGGGCAGAGCTGAGGGTGGAATGTGGATTGGAGTCCCATGGTCCTCAGCTGCCGTGTCATCTCACTAGGAGCCCTGCAGCTTCACAGATCAGAACTTGGATCTCCAAGGCAACCACTGGCACAGAAACTATTACCCCAAGGTAGCATCTAACACGCTCCTGGGAGTCACATAGGCTTCTGTCCAGCTCTGAGTACATTATAGCCAATTATAGGGGGAAATGCCTGCTCCACGTTACAACCTGCTCTTACTTTGGTCAGGGTGGTCTACCACAGAGCACCACATTTCCCTACAGCATGTGTTGGCTTTGTGACATGAGTAGCCCATGGTTAGTATAAAAGAACCAGGGGCCGGGGATTTAGCTCAGTGGTGCCGCTGCCTGCCTCAAAAGCACAAGGTCCCGAGTTCAATCCCTGGTACCAAAAAAAAAAAAAAAAGAAGAAGCAGGACTTGGTCATAGTGGAGCATGCCGGTCATCTCAGCATTAGGAAGACTGAGGCAGGAGGCGTTCAAGGCCAGCTTGAACTACAAGCCAAGACCATGTCTTAAAACAGAAAGAAAGAAAGAGAGAAAGAAAGAAAGAAAGAAAGAAAGAAAGAAAGAAAGAAAGAAAGAAAGAAAGAAAGCAAGCAAGCCAGCAAGCCGGAGATTTAGCTCAGTGGTTTCGACCCCTGCTGCACAAGTGCAAGGGCCCGAGTTCGATCCCCAGTACCGAAAAAAAAAAAAAGAAAGAAAGAAAGAAAGCCACCCACTCCCATCACCAACAGGAAGCATTGCCAATACCTTTGTTCTTTCAAAGCAGCGGCATGTGTTCCTTTTCCTGTATAAGAACTTACAGGCAGTACACAGTTGTGCAACATGTTTTCTTCCCCTTGCAATAATAAATCAGGAACCTCTTTCTACATTCACAAGCATTTTCCTACATTGTTTTTGAAGGACCCTAGTTAGCAAGACAGACTCCATATTGCTGCTCAATCCACCTGCCTGCCCTTTAGATGAACTCAGAAGGAAAAACCTCCTCCCCTTGGAAAGTCTCTTTAGAAATAACAATTAATCAACTATTGTTTTACAAATGTTCAAACAGCAGGATGTTCCGCTTCTGTACCTTTTGCTTGCTTTACTAGTTCTATCCCATAGGGGGACCTAGAAACTGTTGGCCTCAAAGGTGTATAAAACATGTTTGTCTCCCCCCAGTCAGGGCTTGAGTCTGACGCTCAGCTCGGGTCCTGGCCGGTAATAAACTCCTGTGTGGATTTAATATCGGTCTCTGGTTGGTTCTTTCTTGCTGGGTCTAACAGTTTTAACTGTGACACATTCCCAATAGCAATGTATATAAAACATGCAAATACTTTAAGACAATAATAGTAAGGACGCTGGGGGTACCTCCACCCCAGTTACTGAGTAGCCCCAGGAGTGTTCTAGGAAGCCCCTGCAGTCTCTCCAGGGACTCCTTCCCACCCGAAAAGGTGGTCTCTAGCTCAACCTTGGGGTTGAACAGGCCCTTGCTTTTCTTTAGAGTTTTGTTTGTTTATATATTTATGTTTTTTGAGGTAGGGTCTTGCTATGTAGTTCAGGCTGGCCTTGAATTCACTGTGGAGCCCAGGCTAGTCTCAAAGTTGCAGTGATTCTCCTGCCTCAGCCTCCTGTATGCTGAGATGTTTATTTTTGCAATAATGGGGATTGAATCCAGGACAAGCACGTGCTAGGCAAGCACTCTACCACCAAACTACATCCCCAGTCCTTCTTTATTTTTTATTTTTAAAGACTATTCTCATGAATTCAGCACCAAACTCTGATCTCTTTATTTTGTTTTTTGTTTGGTTTGGTTTGGTTTGGTTTGGTACTGGGGATCGAAGTCGGGTCCTTGAGCTTGCGAGGCAGGCGGCACAACCACTGAGCTAAGCCCCTGGCCCTTATTTTTTAATTTTTATTTTGAGACGGGGTCTTACTCCATTGTGAAGGCTGGCCAGAGGGTAAGGTTGTGGGTGGGACTCCCCTGTTGGGAGGCCTGGAGCCCTCAGAGCAGTGACAAGGACACTGAGCACTGCGCATTCAGGGCCACAGCTTGTCTGTCCTCTTGCTTCTGAGTTTCTGTGCCCCTTGTTCAGATCTCGGAGTGGGGTGACATTGGTTGCTTCTGCCAGGTGGATCACGTGTCCTGGGAGGACCAGGGAGGACCAGGGAGGACAGGGGCCCAGCAACCAATCCGGACTGGCCTGTGCAGACAGGCCCTCGAGCCAGGCTCAGCAGGTTCTGTTTTTAACCTTGCGACGGTGGCAGCAGGAGGCTTGGAATGGATGAACTCAGGATACCCCAGCATGCACTGCTCCAGCCGCACCAGCCTGGTATATACACGTCACCCTCAGGCCTCACCTCCCGATGCCCTCACCCCATGCCTGGATGGACCTCGTGTCCCGATAGCACAGTCACTGTGGCTTGAGTGTCCTCACCAAAGCTCGTGTGGAAATGTAATCCCCACAGTGAGGGTTTAAGAGTGGGGAACACCATATGCCTGAAATCCCAGGATTCTGGGAGGCTGAGGCAGGAGGATCTAAAGTTCAAACTAAGCCTGGCCAACTTAGCAACTTAGTTGGGTAAGAACTCATCCCTAAGTAAGCAATAGGGTGGGGCTGTAGCTCAGTGTGAAGGTCCTGGGTTCAGTCCCCAGTACAGCATGGGAGGAGTGGGACCAGTGGAGGTGCTTAGGTCCAGAAGTTGTGCCATCCAGGGCTAAGCCATCAACAGAGTAAGACACTAAGGCAATAACAGGGTGGGTCTGCAGTAAAAGCCAGTGTGACTCTGTCCCTCGAGCACAACACACTGGCCATTTGGCTCTCTGCCCTGCCCTGGGACTCTGCTGAGAATCCACACCAGCGAGGAGTTCCCACCAGACATGACCCCCCACCCAGGCTGCCCAGCCTCTGGGAGCACAAGCTGCAACCCGCTCTTCAGAAGCTCAGGGTACGGCAGCCAGTTACGGCAACAGCAAACCCAGCCTGGCTCCCCTGGTCTGGGCTGAGCCCGTCCTCCAGGAGCTCTTGCCAAAGAGGGCACGAAAGGAGGTGACCATTGTGAAAGCTCACCACTACCACCCGCCCTGCCCGTGGTGGCCGGGTGCTGGCTGCGTAAGACGTCCAGGCTATTGCTGCACCTTGCTATGGAACCAACTTGGCTCTTTCTACTTGGCTTTTTCTGGAAGAGTTTAAGATTTGGGATCAAGTTTTGGAATTTGACACTAAAAATCCTCTATGAGGGTCTAATTTCATCCATTGTGCCAGCATCAATAGGCCAGTTTGAAGGTGCTTGTTTTATTTTTCAGATTTGGATGACTTTTTTTTTTTTTTTTACTTTTTCCGCAACTTTGTCTTCTGGCCTTCTATTGCAATTTTCAATTCTTCTTTCCTATTTTTAATATTCAGATTTGGATGACTTTTTTTTTTTTTTTTTACTTTTTCCGCAACTTTGTCTTCTGGCCTTCTATTGCAATTTTCAATTCTTCTTTCCTATTTTTAATATTCAAGAGATTCTCTTTTATTTTCTGGAAAAAAATGTTTTTGGAGACACAGCCTTGCTATGTAGCCCAGGCTGGCCTTAAACTCACTATGTAGCCCAGGCTGGCCTTAAACTCACTATGTAGCCCAGGCTGACCTCTAACTCACGGTGATCCTCCTGCCTCAGCCTCCTGAGTGCTGAGATTATAGGGATGCATCTCCATGCTCGGCTTATCTTACCTCGTAAAGATATTGATGATTTTTTCTTTAAAACAATTGTTTTCATCTCTCTTCGTGGTTTCTAAACTACATATGCTTCTGTTCTCTCCCTATTTATAAGAGGATTTCCTCAAATGCTTGGGAATCTTGGGCTGTTTGCTCATGATTAAAAGGACTGAATAAAATAAGCCTGTGGATGACACTAGCTTTATTCTGAGGTGAATTTACTGGGCCATTTGTTAGGAAACTTTCTGCCCTGTCAGGGAAGTCATCGTCTGGCTCCAAGGGAGCATGCTCGGGGCGGGGGGGTCTCTGCACTCAGCGTGTGGGGCCAACCTGTGTCAGCAGCGTGTCCACATCTGCTGCTGTCCCTGGCCTGCCCAGCCACACACTGACCATTTCCAAGAGTAAGCCAGATGTTTGCCAGAGTGGAGCAGGGAGAGGGCAGCGACCTAAGGATCTTTTCAAATAGCCCTCTTTGTTTTAGCCTTCTTTCACCCTTAGATCTAAAAGCAGCTGCTGCTGCCAATTCCAAATCTTTGGAGGATCCTGCTGTATGAATGAGTTGGTTTTCTGCCTCCCCCTCTGCTGAGAGGGATTTCGCAGTCCAAGGACAGCCAAGTCAGGCAGCTCCACCCTGCCTCTGAGCAGCTCCCAGAGAGTCTGCTGCTGGGATTCCCTTTCCTGTTCTCTCTTTCTATGTGCAATTTATGTCTTCCAAAGGCCTCTTTGCTGTGGATTTATGCGTTTCCAGAGGCAGTGTCTGCTCTGTGCACGTCTTAACTTGAAGATCCCTCTGTATCTTTTATGACCGTGGCACTGTATATACACTGCTGTATTTCATATAACAAATCCCTCTCTAGTTGAGACACGGCAGCTTTCCTTCACTTTTTCCCTGTCAAAAGCAAGACTGCCATGGACAGCCTGAGAGTTAGGTCTTTGTTTACTGAATTCTTCAGCCAAACTCAGCGAAGCAGCCTTGCTGATGTGGTTTGCTATGGGATGAATGATGCATTGCCGAAAAATCCATCAGCATGGGCCGGGGATTTAGCTCAGTGGTTCTGCCGCCCGCCTCACAAGCACAAGGACCCAAATCTGATCCCTGGTACAAAAAAAAAAAAAAAAATCCATCAACAGAAGCCTCATCCCCAGGGTGAGGGGATTTAGAGACTAGACCTTTGAGAGGTGGTTAAGTCATGAGAGTGCAGCCCTTGTAAAGGAATCAATGTAAAAGGAGGAGGCCCTATGGGATCTTCTTCTCTGCATTCCCCCATGTGAGGTCATCTGCAAACCAGAAGCAGACCCTCCTCAGACACAGGATCCACAAGCATCTTAATCTCTCACTTCCCAGCCTCAGGAACTGTAAAGAATACATTTTCCTGGGCCAGGGATTTAGCTTAGTGGTGCTGCCGCTTGCCTTGAAAGCTCAGCTCCTAGGTTTGATCCCCAGTTCCAAAAAACAAAACAAAACCAAGAATATGTTTTCCTGTCACCAAGCCTCCCCAGTCTGTGCCATTGTTGCAGTAGCCAGCAGACTAAGACATGGCCCTACCTCAATGCTGTCATTGTGAAGTGTAGTGTGCATGCATGTCCTGGGCTCCTTAGAGGAAGCTGACAGAAAATGAGAGCAGATCAGAGGGAAAGAGGGCTGCCGGGGTGAGGTCAAGGTGAGACTCTCCCTCTGATCCATCCTACAACAGCTCTCAGAAGTTAGACAACCCCATCTTCCAATCCCTGATCTGACCCTAACCACCTAGCACTCAATCTTGGAGTCTTTGTCTATAAACTGAGAATAATAATACTTATTACTGCTTGCTGTGAGATTCAAATAAACTAATGTAAAAAAAATAAAAGGCTTTGTTCAATGGCACAAAGATTTATTGGGTGCTTATTATGTACCAGGCACTGTGTCCGGTTTATAGGAAACACAAAAGAGAGCTGTTATCTTGCTTAGTGATGTTGGCAGAATCGTATGCAAGGGGCTGGGGATTTAGCTCAGTGGTTCTATCTCCTGCCTCCCAAGCCCAAGGTCCTGAGTTCGATCCCCAGTACCAAAAAAAAAAAAAAAAAAATCAGAATCGTATGGAAGAAAGAACCTGGAAGAGTTTCAAGTACCATGCAGGTCTATGTAGAATATGTAAATATTTCACTTAACAGTATTTCTCAGGTTCCATCTATTTTCCTCCAAACGACATGATTTCATTTTTCTTTAAGGCTGCATAACCTAATACGAAAGCAACTATTATCTATTGCAAATATACATAAGAATTTTTTTTAAAGATGATCACATTGCATTGCGTTGTTTAGTCCACGAATAATGCATCAAGTCCGGTTCTTGCCTGGGGAAGTTTAAAGAATTGCACTGGTCACAGGGCTTCAACACACAGCCGCAAAAGTCTTGGGGCCCAGACGGAACCGATAATACGGGAACCTTTCTTCTGGCCCCCGGGTGCTCCAGACAGCCCGGCAGGAAATACGCGAGGGACTACGCTGCGTCGCGCCCCCGCAGTCCGACTTCGGTCACCACGGTAACGTGCGGAGGAAAGTGTTTTATCATGCGCACCCGGGTCACGCGAGTCTCGTGGGCCTGGGGCGCCCGCTACCACAGGGGCGCCTCGAGTTTCCCAGTGCCTCCGCCAGGCGCTGTGGATGTGGCGGAGCTGCTGCGGGACGCGACCGCGGCGGAGGAGCGGCCCTCGGCGGCTCCGGCGCGGCGGACCCCAGCCCAGTGCTCGGTGCTGCTGTTCCCTGGCCAGGGCAGCCAGGTGGTGGGCATGGGCCGCGGGCTGCTGGGCTTCCCGCGCGTGCGCGAGCTCTACGACGCCGCGCGCTGCGTGCTGGGCTATGATCTTCTGGAGCTGAGCCTGCACGGGCCTCAGGAGGACCTGGACCGCACCGTGCACTGCCAGCCAGCTATCTTCGTGGCTTCGCTGGCCGCCGTGGAGAAACTCCATCACCTGCAGCCGGAGGTGAGGCGGAGGCCTGGGATGGCGGCGAGCGTGGACTCGGCCCGGGTCCCCCGCGCCGGACTCATGGGGCAGCTTCGGGCTGAGTTCCGGAGGGGCCAGGCCCTGCTCTAGGCGCCGTGGGCAAGCAACCGATCCCTGCCCTGGGGGAGCTTGCACCTAGGGGAGACAGATAACAGATCCATTACGGAAGTTACGTATGTGTTAAAGACGGTAAGCCACAGAAACAAGGAAAGCAGGGAACGGGGTTTGATTTTTAATTATCTGTATTATGTGACTTAAACAGAATTAAACTCAATCCTAATTTTTTTGGGGTACTGGAGATTGAACCCAGGGCTTTCGTACTGAACTACATCCCCAGCCCCTCTTACTTGCATTTATATTTTGAAATAGGGTTTTGCAGTTTGGTTTGTGCTCAGTTTGAACTTCAGTCCTCCCGTTTTAACCCGCCAGAGTGTGAAATCACAGGCACCACCACGCCCAGCCAAATGCAGAGTAGCTGAGAGGATATTTGAGAATGTGATTGTACTTGAAAGTGATGAATCAGTTGTTTTTAGTATTAAATAACATCGAGACAGTAAATGTTTTTTGTTGTTGTTCTTTTGTTACCGGGGATCGAACTCCGGTCCTTGCGCTTTCGAAGCAGGTGGCAGAACCACTGAGCTAAATCCAAGGCCCTAGATAGTAAATGCTAAGCCCGTCCTTGAGCTCTGTTATTTCATTTCACCTTTACAGCCTGTGGGAGATGAATACTGTTATGTTGTGGGTGAGGAAAGAATACTCAGGGTTATTAAATTAGTCACGTGGTTCCATTGAATCGTGATAGTAACGTTTGTTCAGTGCTTAACCTGGGCCAGGTCTGTGCTGAGCACTTTATACACATTATTTTCACATAATTCCCTCAGCAGGGGTGTGACCTACTGCTCTTCACAGAGGAGGGAACTGAGGCTCAGGGATGAGTGAACTCTCCCAGGCTAAGATATCCAGTCTCTGACTCCAAGAGTGATACTTTTAGCTTCTGCACTTCACTTCCACACACCCCATGGCCCAAGCGGCTGTTGCACAGAGTCCAGGGAATCCAGAGCCGTGGCTTGGGGTCCACATATCCATGGAGTCAGCTGAGCTTTAGCCTGGCGTGTCAGGGAGCCCTCACTGGTACAGGGCTGGACTTAAGTGACTGTCAGGGCCACCTCTGTGTCCTCTTCTAGGTGGACCATAGGGCAGTGGCACCGGCGCCCTGGCGCCGAGTTTCCCCAGAGCCTCTGGCCTCACCTTCTACATCTGTCACCACAGGTGATTGAGAACTGTGTTGCTGCTGCCGGATTCAGTGTAGGAGAATTCGCTGCCCTAGTCTTTGCCGGAGCCATGGAATTTTCTGAAGGTACAAGGGAGAGAATTGGGCCTGTTCAGGGTGTGGTCTTGCTGGGCTCACTGGGGACAAGGAACACGGCCAGAAATAATGCTGGAGCCACTTGGGGTGATAGGGAAGGGAGGAGAGAGATGGGGATGACGTTGGATCTCAAGGACCAGATTTCACTGTGGTTTCCTTTTTCTTTTTTTAATCTCATGAAATCGTCTTGATCCCTTCCCTTACTACCCTGTGCATTTTTACCACCTTTTCAGTACTGGAATTGAAACCAGAGCCTTCATACTGAGCTACCTCTCAATCCTTTTTTTTTTTTCTTTTTTTTTTTTTTGGCAGAACCAAGGATGGAACTCAGGACCTTGAATTTGCTAGGCAGGCGCTGGTACCACTGAGCTAAACCTCCAGCCCTCTTCTTTTATTTTTTATGTGGAGGTGATGTGTTGCTGAGTAGCCCCAGCTAGGCTTGAACTTCCAACCCTCCTGGCTCAACCCCTAGAATGTTGGGGTTATAGACAGCTCCCTGTGCATTCTTACACTACTCATACACTCATATCTGTCACATGTGGCAGATGCTCAATAGATGCACAGAAAATGAAAAAAGCGTAAATGAGTATTTGATCCTTGCTTAGCTTGTGCAAGGCCCTGGTTCAATTTCCAGCAGCAGCAAAAAAACAAAAAAGGACGATCTTGAGCCATATCAGTTTTACTGCTTAAGATGGTATACACCTGTACTCCCAGCTACTCCGGAGGCTGAGGCAAGAGGGAGGCTCAAGGAGTTTGAAGCCAGCCTGGAAATAGGGTAAGATCCTGTTGAGAGGGGTGGGGAGACTGATTTGCTATAGTTAAATACAGAGGAGGGACTTGAATAGACATGTAAGTATTGATAACAATGTGGACAAACGCTCATGCGTTGCTGGTGGGAATGTAACGGTGCAGCCCCTGAGGGAAACAGTTTAGCCATTGAAAAAGTTGAACACGATTACCAAAGCACATCAGTTCTGCTTGTAGGAATTTACCTAAGAGATTAAAATGTTTGTCCACACAGAAAAACTCATATACAGATTATTACAGCACATTGTTCATAATTGCCGAGAGGTAGAAACAGCCCTGCTGCTCGCAAGCAGTTGGATGAGCAGACTACGCTGTGTCCAAAGACAGGATGTCTTTCTGTCATAAAAAGGGGTACAATACTGACATGTGCTGCAACGTGAACAAGCCTTGAAAATTACCTGAAGTGAGAGAGGCCAGACTGATTGATCCCTTTTATGTGAAAAGTCCAGAGTACGTGAGTCCAACCCCCAGTATCAGCAGATCAGAGGTTGCAGGGGATGGAGGAGGAAGAAATGGGAGTGATTACTTAGCAGGCATGTGGTGTTTTTAGTGGGATGATAAAGTCTTGAAATGAACGAGCTAGTGGTTGTACAACTTTGTTTTTTCTTTCTTTTTATTTACTTGGTTTTCTTTTGTTTTTTGCAGTACTGGGTGTTGAACCCAGGGCCTTTGCACTGAGCTACACCTGCAGCCCCTTTTTATTTTTAGTTTTTGTTTTGAGACAGGGTTTCTCTAAGTCATGAAGTTCCCCAGGCTGGACTCAAACTTGCAATTCTCCTGCCACAGCCTCCTAGAATGCTGGGATTACCTGCCTGGCTTGGTGCTTGTACAGCATTGTGAATACACCAAGTACCACTGAATTATACACTTTAAAATGACCAAGTGTACTTTATGTGAATTTTATCTCTTTTTTTAAAAAAGGGGGATTATCGCACTAAAAGAAATAAAAATACCACAATGAAATAGCAGTTGACACCCACAGGATATTTTCATATTGTAAGGAAACTGCTATCTGTATAGTTTTGTGTTATACGATTTGTAGACTTGAGACATGTTTACAAGCTCGTGTTGAGTCTTTTCACTTGGCACATGGCGTATTGAGTACTGACTTTTTGGTAGTACTGGGAATGAACCCAGGAGTGCTCTACCACTAAGCTACAACCAGCCCCTACCCCACCCCTTTTTGAGACACTTGCTAGGAATCACTGACCTCAAACTTGAGAACCTCCTGCTTCAGCCTCCTGATTAATAGTTATTGCTTTAATGCCACATGGCAGGCTCTCCAGCTGTCCTATACTCTCTACATGTTTCCACCTCCTTCTGACCACAGATGTTCTGCAGCTGCTCTGGGTGAGGGGCTAGAGTCCTGTGCAGGTGTACATAGGTGCCCAGAGAGCAGGGTGCGTCACCGAGTCAGGGTGCAGGGCTTGCCCCTCAGCCCCTCTTGCCCATTTCTCAGTCCAGTCGGCCCCTTCTCCACCAAGGGAGCAGACGTCACAACCACTCCCCGTCACGAAGCCACCTGCCTGGGCACAGTCCTGTCCCCTTGCCAGGTACCTGGGCCCAGGTCTCAGCCCCCAGCCTTCCCAGTGTCATGCTCTCCAGCCATGAGCAGGGCAGTCACACCTTGTTACGATCATTCTGCTCCAGCGAATGCACACACTTGTGTAGCGTGTACAGCAATCCTGTGTCTGGGGGCTCTTAATTGTTCTTCCTTTTCAATATGATTTCTCTTAAATAATTAATAATAATTCCCAGTTCTCACAAGAGCCCAGGTAGATTGGATCCTTTGATCCTCACTGTAATTGAAAATGTAGCCCGGAAGGAGGTCAAGGCCTGGCTGAGGCACCGTAGCTCCACGCCTGCTCTCTCTGCCCCTTTTGGGGCTTCTCGCCAGGGTGCTGCTGACATTGGCACCAGACAGTTCTTTGGGGCGGAGCTGCCCTGTGCACTGTAGGGTGCTCTTTGTAACAGCATCCCTAGCCTCTCCTTGGCACACATCTAAAGATTCCCCATGTAACAGCCAGAGTCTCCAGTCCCCAAGAGGCAGAATCACCCCCGAGGGAACCCCTGCTCCACACTCGCCTGGCTTTTGGGCGGGAAGCAGTTTGGGCTGATGGGGTCACTGACAAGGACAGCCCCCTGCTCTTCCACAATAGCAGTGACCACTGCACCTAGCAGATACAGGCAGGTATACTGTGGCCCTGTTGCCTGTGGGGACCTGTGTCTGTCTTGGCAGCAGGGGATGTCGAGGATCCGATTTCACCGCTCTCTCTGTAGGGCTCTACGCTGTGAAGGTCCGTGCTGAGGCCATGCAGGCAGCATCAGAAGCCGTCCCCAGTGGGATGCTGTCCGTGCTCGGCCAGCCTCAGTCCAAGTTTGCCTTCGCCTGTCTGGATGCCCGGGAGCACTGCAGGTCCTTGGGCATCGAGGATCCAGTGTGCAAGGTCTCCAACTACCTCTTCCCACACTGCAGGGTCATCTCAGGACACCTGGAGGTGGGTGTGATGGGGGCGCTCCAAACCTGCAAAGCCCCAAGGTACAGCGTGTATCACCAGCACTGGGGACACACAGGCCAGTCAGAGTCCTGCTGTCAGAAGCAGGCCCATGTGGCTGCAGAGTGGGCTCCTGGAGAGTGAGCAGGGATTTTCCCTTAGAAAGAACAGTTGGGGACCAAGTGTAGAGCTCAGGACAGTGAGTGCAGCAGAGGGCCAGGCATTTCCATCGATTTTTTTTTTGGCAGTACTGGGCATTGAATTCAGGGCCTTTGTACTGGATGATTTCTACATCCCCAGCCCTTTCTTAATTTTGAGACTAAGTTAACTAATTTTGAGCCATGCTGAGCTCAAATAAATTCGTGATTCCATGCCTCAGCCTCCCAGAGTGCTAGGACTACAGATGGACATCATCATGCCTGGCTTGGAAGCAGTTCCTCCTCCCCTTTCAACACGAGGGAGCTGAGACAGAGAGAGGACAGGCACTTGGAGATGATCGAGGCAGACTTTTTTTTTTGTACTGGGGATTCAGATCTTTGCACTTGGGAGGCAGGTGGCAGCACCACTGAGCTAAATCTCCAGCCCCATCTTTTTTTTGTTTTTGTGAGAGGGTCTTGCTGTGTAGCTCAGGCTGGCCTCAGACACAGTGATCGTCTTGCCTCAGCAAGAGTGCTGGGACTACAGATGTGTCCCCCTTGTTTTTAGGCAGTCTCACAGTGTTGCCCACGTGTTCTTGACTCCTCCTGCTTCAGCCTCCCGAGTAGCTGAGATTACAGGTGCACCCCACAGCACCTGGCTGGAGGCAGAACCTGAAGCCCTATTGGTCTCAGTCTGACTTTAGTTCCTCCACATGACCACACTCTTCCTCCTCCCATATCAGGGCCTGGGCCACACTACATGTCCTCAGACACCAACTCCATGAGCACCACAGGCCCCTTTGTGACCATGGTGACATGACGGGAAGGACAGCTGATCACGGGGCTGGTTGCTCATTTCTACCAGCAGCTTCAGGGAGCAGCCCAAAAGGGCTGGGGCCCCGGCTCCTGCCATGCACATGTGCAGCCTGGCCCAGCTCCTGGAGTCCCTGGTCTGTTCTTTCAGACCAGGAAATGCTATCACCAGGAGCTCAGGTGAGGGCCCTTTCCTGTAGCCATGTGGAGTGAAGCTCCCAGGCTAGCTATGGAGCAGCCGGCTGGACGCTAAGATGGTGGCCTTGACCCCTGTGGCCCAGCCAGGGACTAGAGCAGGCTGAGCCACAGAATGAGTTCAGAACCTTACGGAAAGCATTTGGGACCAGATGCCACCAGAAGTGCCTGGTCGCTGTCCACAGGTGCTGCCCTGAAGCCAGTCGGCTGTGGTGGGAAGGGCTCAGGCTGTGGGGTCCATAAGGCCCTGGCTTGGAGAAGCACCCAGGGGACAACCCCTGTGAGTTGGATGCCAGCCTGGGCTACATAGCAAGACCCTGTCTCAAACAGGAATTCTTGTTGAAAGTAAACACATTTGTTAGGTGGTGCCATCTCCTGTTGGATGCTGTCGCGCATCCCATCCGGGTCCACCTCCCAGCAGCCGTGGGGAGTGGGTGAAATGTGCCTGTTTCGGGGAGGGAGAGGAGGAGGAGGAGGAGGAGGTGGTTCCAATGTGCAGTGACCAGCCTGGGCCACAACCCTGGCCAGTGCAGGGGCTGGGACAGTCCCACATTTCTACATTAACAGCTCCCTGACCCGTACTGTAGTCACCTTCCCATTTGGGGCATATAAGAGATCAGACACCTAAAGGATGACCTCGGGAACCCTGGATATGCAACGACATTTAACTGGAACTAAAAATGTGAACTGAGGTTATCACCCAAGCACGCCTGTAATCCCAGCACTCTGGGAGGCTGAGGCAGGAGCATTGTAAGTTTAAGCCCAAACTGGACAACTCAGCAAGACCTGTCTCAAAGTAAAAAAGAGTAAAAACTGAAAAGTGCTGGGGACATAGCTCAGTAGGAAGGCCTAAGTTCACTTCTCAGTACTACGACCCCCCCAAAAAAAAAATTTCCCCAAGGCTTGGGGGAAGCCTGGCAATACATGAATCATGTGCACAAGACGAGGTGTGTGCAGCTCTCCCCTGACGTGTGCCTGCGTGACTCCTTCCCCAGGCCCTGCAGTTCCTTCGGCAGAACGCCTCCAAGTATCACTTCCGGCGCACCAAGATGCTGCCTGTGAGTGGCGGCTTCCACACCTGCCTCATGCAGCCGGCGGTAGAGCCCCTGACACAGGCTCTGAAGGCCATCGACATCAAGCAGCCACTGATCTCCGTGCATGCCAACGTGGATGGGAACAGGTACATGCATCCCCAACACATCCGGAAGCTGCTGGGGCAGCAGCTGGTGTCCCCGGTGAAGTGGGAGCAGACCATGCATGCCCTGTACGAGCGCAAGAGGGGCACCGCCTTCCCCAGGACATGGGAGGTCGGCCCTGGGCAGCAACTGGGCAGCATCCTCCGCAGCTGTAACCTGCAGGCCTGGAAATCCTACAACTACGTGGATGTGCTGCAGGCTGACGAGGACCTGGGCCCCGAGGAGTCTCCGTGGTGACCGCATGGGCCAGAGCGGGGGACCCAGTCTGTAGCTCCTGAGCAGGGTGGAAGGATTGCTCGCCCCGTGCTTTGGAAGAGTAAGAGTTTGTGCAGTTCCCTCCAGGAAAACGGTCAGGTCGCTGGGGGAAGAGGCCAGCGTGCTGGTTCTGTGGAGCTGGACGCGCTGTGGACACGTGGGCACTAGTGCCAGCCCAGCCGGAGCCTCAGCTCAGCTCCTCTGTCCCTCTCTACAAGGCTTCTGAGACCTGTTGGCCTTGTCAGGCGGCCTGCCCCCCCAACCCCGACAGCCGGAAGTGGGAGTCCTGTGTCCTGCACATGTCAAGGAAGCGCGTCACGTGCCTGCTGTGTAGAGTCATAGTGGGGAGGTCCTGGAGCCAGGTGTGGTGCGAGGGTGTGGCTGAGCCCGGGCCGGGCCAGCCTGGCTTCCCTGCGCAGGGGTGCGCAGGTCCTCCACGGGCGTTGCTGACAAACATGAGCCCTTGTGAGCCGCACAAGCCGTCGTGTCCCGTTTCTCAGTGGTGGTCTGATGTGTCTTTCGATACTCCCATCACACGGATGTGGGTCAGATCCCGGGGTGCTTCTTGGCAGGGCCCTGCCATCCGTGGGCCTGTGGGATGTTCCCTTCCATGCCAGCTGTCCCGACAGTGGGCCACTTCATACCTGTAGCATTTCCAGGCACTGACTCCGAAGCCCTACACATTCCCATGCAGCCCTGGCTGAGGGCCACCGTGGGTTTTAACAACATGCTTTTCACTGTGGCCTCAGTATCAGCAGGAGCATGGGAATTATTGGAAAGCACTCATTTTCATATTTTTTGAGACAGAATCTTGTTGTGTTGCCCAGGCTGGTCTTGAACTCCTGGGCTCAGGATCCTCCTGCCTCAGCCTCCAGGGTAGCTGGGACTAAAGGTGCATACCAACATAGCCAGGCAGAACTATTCTTCACAAAGAAGTTTATTCTTTCAATACTGGGGATTGAACCCAGAGCCTTTGTTTTTATTTTTGAGACAGGATCTCACTAAGTCACTAAGTTGTCCAGGTTGGACTCAAATTGGTAATTATTTTGCCTGAGCCTCCCAGAGTGCTGGATTACAGTGTGTGCCACCACACCTAGCTACAAAGAACTTTGTTGTAGTGGGGATTGAATCCAGGGCTTCACACTAAGGTACACTCTCACCCCCCCTTTACTGTAATTTTTTTTTCTGAGCCCAGGCTGGGCTGAAATTTTGGAAACCTGCTTTAGCCTCCCAGAGTGCTCAGATTAAAGGTATGGGCCCCCCGATCAGGCTTTTAAATAGAAGTCACAGCAGCCGCAGGAGGTGCAGACTGCCCATGGTCCCGGCCTGGGTCCTTGGCCAGTGCCACACAGGATGGCGTCTTAGGCTTCCACTCCGCCTCAAGCGCAAAATCCCTAATAAGGGAGCCCTAAGTGGGAGGGCAGGGCCTGTGTGAGGGGCCCCCCCTTCCCCTCGGATGCCCCAGGCGTTCTGAGCCACAGGAGGGGAAGAAGTGCAGACCCAGGGCTTGCTGCCAGGGAACCTGGGAGGCCAATGACTGTTCCTTGCACAGAGGGGGGAGGGTCCACCACTGCCCTGAGGTCTGTCGACCCCCCAGCCTGCTCTCCCACCCACAGGAACAGCTTTCCTGGGTGCTTCCTTCCTGAGAGCCCATGCTGCCTCATCTACAGGAATTCCAGTGGGGGTGGTGGTTGGTTTTTGAGATAGGGTCTTGCTTTATAGCTCAGGCTGGCCTTAAACTCACTGTGTAGTCCAGTCTTGGCAGTCTTTCCTGCCTCAGCCTTCCGAGTGCTGGGATTACAAGCACGTGCCACCATTCCTCACTAGACAGTTGTTCTTCTCACAGGCTGAGGCCACCCGGGCCCACCCTTCGTAGGGGACATGTAGTCACAAGCAGGCCCCTCATGCCTGCTGCCTTGTCACCCCCAATGGGGTTTGCTCCACCAGCCCTGGACAGCCTGCATGTGGCCCGTGGCCCTGAGCTGCTGCAGCTGGTGATGGCAGCCATGGGGACTCCCAGCCAGAAGCCCCTCCCTCCTGGGCCTACTCTCCAAGGGTGGCACCAGCCCAAGGCCCAGGAGAAAGGTGACCACGAGGCTCCAGCCATCTATGGCACCTGAGCTGTGGGACCCCACGGGTCACAGTGCTTGGGTGACACTGCGTGAGTGACTTGTCCCCAGGTGACAGCAGCTGCTGCCACCCCGGGTCCCACCTCCTGGAACAGTGATGGCCACGGGAGGAGGGCAAGTCCCGTCCAGGGAGGATGCCGAGTCCCAGAGGTCTCAGCCATACTGGGGCTGCCCCGTCCAGTGCCAGGGTCCCAGCAGCCTATCCCGCCCCAGGGCTCGGGGCCAGCCCATCTCTCCAGGTGGCTCCTCCCCGGGATGCCTCCCACACCGGTCCTGGGGCACCCCTGCTTAGCCTGTACATTCCTAGCCTGGTACCACCGGGAGGTCCTGGCTCTCGGCTGCGGAGCTGGTCAGGGTGCAGGTGCCCGTGCCCTGGGGATGGGCCTGGGCTCCCCTGTGAGGTCCTGAGTGTTCCCATTGGAGTTCCCGGGGAGGGGTACACAGCATGGCTGAGAGGCAGGAACGGGCCGGCCTGGCCCTGGGTCCAGGGCAAGGGAGGCCTGAGGGGCTGTGGTAGGCCCAACCAGTGTTTGCATTTTTGCTGCGAGTGGGAGGGCCACCTTGGGTCCCGGGTCTGGGTGCCTTGATGGGGCCTCAGAAACAACAGGAGTCTGGGGTAGCCCTGAGCCGAAATGGTGGGAGCCAGCCCTCCACTGGGTACCCTTGCCCCGGCCTGCTCCCCAGCACCCCTGCCAGAACAAGTGGACACCTGACAGGGCAGGCAGGGGACAGACATCCCTATGAGGCACAGCAAGTCCAAAGGGAATAATCCCTAATGGTGGATTTCAGGCACAGGACACGGAGCGGGGCCTACTTCCTGCCTCCACCATGATCAGACTCTAGGGGCACTGCAAGCCCAGAGAGGACTCGAACCCAGCTGGAAATCAACATTTTATTGAACTCTGCACCTCTCAGAAATCTAGTCCAGTAGATTCCTTGTGCCTCGGGCATCACTGACACAGGTGTGACCAGCACACCCCCGCCATTCACATGACCAGCCTCCAGGAGGTGGAGGCTCCTTCCAGGGGCCAGGGGCCGGGAAGAGCGGCCCAGCCAGTTGGAGGCCAGGCAGTTAACCAGTAACAGCCCAGAGGTAGGAAGAATTCATTCCTTAGAAAAACGAACTCCAGTACAAATCTCAGCAGTGTCCCAGCACTGTTGAGCTTAAATATAAAAAGGATCTTCACGAAACACTACCGTTAAAAAGAACAAAGCTGGCCAGGCGGTGGCCCCCCGGGGGGCAGTGGTGGCAGAGGGGACAGGGACCAGCCCTGCCTGCCTGCCGGGCCTCACTGCAGCAGGAGGCGCAGGATCCCGAGCAGCAGCACCAACAGCACCACAGGCAGCAGCTGCCTGCAGGCCCAGCCAGGGGACACCTGCGGGACCAGGAGGGGACAGTGAGGGCTGGACAAGCCAGAGGGGTGCGGAGGTAGGGGACTCAGAACAGGCACAGCATCTGGGACTGGGGTGGCTGGGACAAGGGAGGCCAGAGTGGAGGTTCAGGAGGACAGGAAGGTGGCCCCGAGGGATCAGCAGGGAGGGGCAGCCCCAGAGGATGACAGCACCCAGTCCTTGGGGCCAGGGTCAAACAAGGCCTCAGGTTCTTACCCAGGCGTGGGGGGCTAGGTGTCCCCAGGGCCACATGTCCCTGAGGCTGGTGAGACCAGGAGTCAGGCTTCTGAGCACACCCCAGAGCCCCATTTGGCTGTAGGTGATGGCCAGGCTGTAAGACAACCAGAGGGGAGCACCTGTGAGTGGGGATGCCAGCGCAGTGGGAGGCACATGGCCTGTCCCCCAGTCCAGCCACTGTCCCCTCCCCAGCAGCTGCAGGCTGTCTGCTGCACATAGGCACACCAACTTCCTGCTTCCTCCCCAGCTGCCCGGCTGCAGGGTGCTGGTCCAGCTCAGAGCTGGCCGTGTGGGACACAGCCCCTGCTTTGCAGGCCCCACGGTCACTGTCCTGCCATCTTCCCCAGAGCCCTCGCTCACCTGTGCTTCCCTCTAACCGCCTGGGAAGGCCCTAGGTTCAGCTTTGTCCAAGGCTGGGGCAGGGTGGGGATGGGGAGGCAAAGGGTTTGGGGCTACCTGGAGATGGGGGGGGATCTCCTCCCAGGCCCCTGTCCACCCAGGGTCCCACAGGCTACCTGTGCACGGCCCTCCCGGGCAACTGGGCCAGGCGGGGGGCCCGGAGACGCAGGTCCATCTCATCACCAATGCAGGCCAGCCGCAGGGCCATCAGGCTGCTGTGGGGAGGTGCGGGGTGACGGGCTGTGGCAGACAATACTTCCCACGTCCCCACGCAGGCAGGCTCTGAGGGGAACTAGGGGGTGCCTGAGACAGGCTGGTCCCAGCTCCTGGGCCCTTGTGCTTCTCACAGGGGGGTGGGGCATCTGTCTGGGGCACCCACAGATCCCTAAACTCCAGGAAGGCTTGGGTGCCCTGGATTTCCTGGGAGGGGCCCCCGGTAGACTTTGGCAGGGTTGGTGGACAACGAGGACCGGCAGGTTTGAGGCTGGCTCCCCACAGGGATCTCGCCTGTCCCTCCCCTTCTGATCCCCGCCCCCAGTCCTGAAACCATCCCCATCATCACCCCTCTCAGAATGGAGGGCTCTCGGGTGTGTGCTGGTCCAAGTCCTCAACTGACATGGGGTGGGCACATGCACCCCATGCCGTGCATGTGCGCACACAACACACACACACACCCACACCCCAGACTAAAAGCCAGGCCCTCCGTGGCTCGCCTGGCTCAGCCTGGCTCTTAGGAACCTGCCCACATTCTCTGCAGGTGACTTGGCAGTGCAGCCGGAAAGTTCCGGGTTCTCAGGGAAGGCCCAGCCCTGCCTGGCATCTTTACACTGGGCTGTTACCCTGTGGCCATGGGCCTGGGAGGGGCCTGGCTCTGGGAGAGGCTATGAGGTGGCCAGCAGAGGCAGGACAGCCTCCTGCCCAGAACCTAAGCCCAGTGCAGGGAGCTATCCAATAGCCAGGGTCCACACCCCTGGTAGTCACCACTGGAACACAAGGGGACCCAAGCTAAGGGACCATACCCTCCCACGCTGCCCGGAAGGCCATCTGCTGCAGGAGGCCGAGCCCCTTCTCACAAGGCCTGCATCCTAGGACCTACCTGCCTTCCAGGCAGCCCACGAGGTCAGTGTCCCCTGGGGGACTGAGATCCTCTCCCCTGAAGGGATGCATCACAGCCAAGGCCCCTGTGGCCAACAGAGGCCCAGGGAGCGGCTCATACAGCAGGGTCTCCATGAGCAGGTCCCTGGTGACGGGTCTTGCTTCCGACATCTCTGGAGGACAGAAACAGAGCCTCAGTGTCACTGGACAGCTGCAGCTCAGGACAGGACACTTCTAGGTAAGTGCTATACTGCTGAGCCACACACAGACCTCCCTGGGTCTGGGGATCTTTTTGTCTGTAGGCCCCTATGTCCCATGAAACACTGATTAAATAAATCTCATATGCTAGGTGTGGTGCCGCACACCTGTAATCCCAGCACTTGAAAGGCTGAAGCAGGAAGATTGCCGTGAGTTTGAGGCCACCCTGGGTCACACAGCACAAAACTACCCTGGACTATGCAGTGAGACCCTGTCTCAAAAAACTAAAAAAAAAGGAGCTGGGGATTTAGCTCGGTGGTGCCAGCGCCTACCTTGCAAGCGCAAGGTCCTGAGTTCAATCCCCGGTACCTAAAAAAAAAAGTTATCGCAAGGCATGGTAGCATGCACCTGTAATCCCAGAGGCTGAGGAGGGTGAGGCAGGAGGGTCACAGGTTTAAATCCTGCCAGGGATTTAGCTCAGTGGTTCTGCTGCCTGCCTCCCAAGCGGTAGGTGCCGAGTTTGATTCCCCGGTACCACAAAAAGAAAAAAAGAAAAAACAAAACACCCCAAAACAATTTCTCTCAGTTTTATGAGTTAACGAGTTCAAGTGCTGTGTGAACAACTAAGGGAGAACCTGTCTCAAAAAGGGCTCAGCATCGTTAACTAATTGAGTAAATGAGTATATCTTAGGCTTTTCTCTTGCTGCTTTTTTTGTTTTTGTGGTACTGGGGATTAAACATGGCCTTCACACCAAGCTACATCTCCAGCTCTTTTTTTATTTTGAGACAGGGCCTCACTGAAGTCACTAAATTATCCAAGCTGCGCTTGAATTTGTGATCCTTCTGCCTCTGCCTCCCACAGGTGGGTGCCACCAAGCCCAGCTTTTTCTTTTTCTTTTGGTACGGGGACCGAACTGAGGACCTTGTGCTCGCAAGGCAGGTGTGGCTCCACTGAGCTAAATCCTCAGCCCAAGCCCAGCTTTTTCTTACAGGAGCGTGGGCTGGGACCCTCCTAGTGGTGAGGACCAGTGTCAGACCTTCCTGCCCCTGCAGGACTCCCTCCCTGACCCCTGACCCCCTGCCCTCCCTTTCAATTGGCCAGAGCCGTCATCCGGGCTGTGTGTCGTAGGGTGAGTCACCAAGCCTCTCTGTTCGACTCGTCCATGTCTCAAGCGGGCACCTGATGCACCAGGGCCCTCGAATTTTTCCTTTGTGTGAAATAAAATCAGAGCAGCCAAACTGAGAAGCCCAGGTATCTGCTGTCAGCAGAGGGGGCAAAAGCCAGCTCCCCAACCCCGGGAACAGCAATACCTCAGCATCATGGAAAACAACACCTGTTTTGATGTCTGTTATTTCTTTGGAGCAAAAAAGGCAAATAAGCAAAATGGGAAGAGTCATCCACAGCCCCAGCTCCCAGAGGGACCTGCTCAGCCTCTCCTCTGCACACATCGCAGCTGCATCTTCCAGGTCAGGCATCCCCAAGACATTCCTGGGGCCCTGCTAGCACAGCCCCTGTTCTTCCCGGGACCCTGCACGTGCACTGACCTGAGCTGATCTCCACCTTCCTGTCCCCCATCTGCCAGCAACCCTTGCAGCTCCCTGTTGGCCCCGTGACCCCACTTGGACAGTGAAGCCTCAGAAGCGGAGGTAGGGGCTGAAGGAAAGGGAGCAAGGCACCCAGGCCAGCTCATCCTCCTTGCTGCCATGAACACAGAAGTGATGGCTGGAGCTGCAGCAGCCAGCTAAGGGTGCAGTCAGTGAAGTAAGGAAAGCCTGGGCCTGATGGCACTGCTCAGCAGGAAATCACTAAATTACCCAGCCCAGGTTTAAAACTTGGGAACCTCTTGCCTCAGCCTCTGAGAGTTCTGAGACTACAGGTGTTCATGACCACACTCAGCCCAACCCATTAAGTTCTTAGTTACATCCTGGATCTTTTAAGTGAATTCCTCCCATCTGCCTACACTAGAGATCCCAGAGAGCTCTCTACCCAATGATGTCCTTTGATTTTTCTGTACAAAGAGCCCCTGGGGCATGAAGACGCCCACCATGAAGCCAAGAAGGAACAGAGGTCCACGCATTCCCCACCCCAGACCAGAGTGGCCCGATGTCCACCCCTGAAGTGGCTGCAGAAGCAAGGCCCAGGAAAGGGACCCAGGCTGGGACGCACACTCCCCCAGGTGACCTGGAGCTGACTCCAGGCAGGTGATTGATAACAATGCACCCCACACGGTGGCAGCCAAGGAGACAGGCAGGTACACGGTGACATCATCAGCCACCGTGCCAGGCCCAGGGTGCGGCACGGCCCAGGCTGAGAGAGAAACCACAGGAGGAAAGCACTTCCTTCTAGAACTAGAGAACAAATGCCCAGGACTTCTGCTGCCGCAGAGGGACGGCTGTTTCTGCCTCACCGAAGGAAGCTGGGGAGGTGGCCGCCTGCTCGGGACAGAGGCCCAACAGCGGCCCGGTAGAGAAAAGACAGGCAGAGCCAGGGCTGCCAAAAGGGCCAGGCCGGCCCTGGACGCTGCACCTGTCACACACGTTCCTCTCCAGCCCAGCCGAGGAGAGGGGGCACCTGGGACCCCCTTGCAGGCAGCACTGGTGGCTACGGTGCTGGTCGCCACCTCAGCCGTCGGGCTGGAGAGCACAAAGGGCGCAGCAACACCTGCGTGACTGACATGGGAAGTGTTCTCAGTGCAAACACCTTTTTTTCTTTCTCTGAAGTGCTGGGGATGGAACCCAAGGCCCTGTGCATGCTGGGCAAGGGCTCACCACTGAGCCGAAGCCACCTCTCGCCCCAGCACTTGGCACCGGTTTAAAAAAGCAGGAAGATCGAGATTGAGCTCCAATGCAGAGGTGTCCAGCTGCACTTGGGACAGCTCGGGGACGAGAGGAGCCCCTGACGCTCAAACCCCCTTCCCACACCCAACTTGGCCTTCAGGGAGCCCGTGACACCAGACAGCAGCCACGAGGACCCTTTGGGCCACCATACCACCTTCGGCCAGCAGTCCGGGCCCTCCGTCCCTTCTGCTGCCCTGTTGCTTGACAAGAAGGCTGGGAGAGGAGGGAGGGGACTCAGGAGCCATTCTGTCTCTGGTCTCATCTGCCACTTCAAGACACCAGCATGAGGAGAAATGCTCAAAAGTAAAGGAAAAGGGCTACCTACTCGGGACCCCTCCTGCCCTTCAGGGGCTTTCCTATCAATAAATATCTTCCTACTTAAAAAAAAAAAAGGAAAGGAAAAGAATGAAAACCACAGCAAGCAGCCACCCTTCACCCAAACAGTGCAACAGATACAAACGTTTATGTAAAAAAAACTAAAGCGAACATAAAAAGAACTAAAATGTGTTATACACATGTACCAACTCCTCACCATGACTGTAGTCATTATCTACTGCTAACGTGTACTAATAAAAAAAATTTTTTTAAGGGCCCGGGATTTAGCTCAGCACCAGGCCTGTCTTGAAAGCGCAACGTCCCAAGTTTGATCCCCAGTACCAGAAAAAAATTTTTAAATGGGGCCCAGGCATAATGGTGTACTCCTGTAATCCTGGTTATTTGGAGGCTGAGGCAGGAAGATCGGGAGTTCAAGGCCAGCCTGGGCAACTTAGCAAGACCCTGGTTCAAAATAAAAAATAGTAAGGCAGGGGATGTAGCTCAGTGGCACATCACTTGCCTAGCATGTGTGAAGCCCTGGGTTCCACCCCTAGTACTACAAAAAATAAGTCGGGGAGAGAGAGAGAGGAGAGAGGAAGAAGAAAAAGGAAAAGAAAAGAGAACCACAGACATCTATCTATTGGCAGAACTAGGGGAGTTTCAAAGCTGCCAGATGCAACATCAATATGCAGATCTCAACAGCATTCCTCCACTTCAACCAGAAGATAAGCAAAAAACATGGACATCTTTACAGCAACAGCAGAAGAGAAGGCTTCTGGTCAGAGATTCACCTAATAACATGCAGAAAAATCTAAAACTCCACTGAAGGACATAAAATGCCCAAATAAATGGAGACTTGGACAAATTTCCATGGGTGAGGTGTTGCAACGCTGCACACACTAGAAGCGAAGTGCGGCTGTGTGGAGAGAGGTTTGTGTGTGTGTGTGTGTGTGTGTGTGTGTGTGTGTGTGTGCGCGCGCATTGAGCAGCCTTAGGAACTGGATCCAGAACCCCATCTGACCTCAGGCCCATGAGAGGCAGTGTCTATGCAAAGGGCCATTTCCCTGGGAAAGCAGACCAGCAGCAGGTGTGTCTGTCCCCGCCCCTTAGCACCAGAGGGCTCCCCTGTGCTCCCACCCTGTCTCAAGGGCCCTGGTGGGACTTCAGCCCTGATGCTGGACACAGGACCACAGGCTGGCGAACATCAGGCTCTGCGGAGGACATGGCTGCACCTGGCAGTCACTCTTCTGCCGCCGCCCTTCAGGACCCCACCAACCCCCCTCTGAGTGCACCTGGGACAGAGACCAACCTCACACCCTAACCCAACCTCTCCCCCTTCCCATCTGTCCCTGGGCCTCAGTTTCTCTACCTGTTAAGTAGGGATAATGGTCCCAATCTACTGGGGCCCCCACCCAGTCCAGTACCAGCACCAAATGCCTCTGTTAGAACCAGGCTGCAAGCCAGGCATGGGGGTACACACCTATAATCCCAGCACTCAGGAGGCTGAGGCAGGAGGATCTCAGAGAGTTCAAGGCCAGCCTGGGTTACATTGTGAGTCCAAAGCCAAGGTAAACTACAGAGCGAGAGCCTATCTCAGAAACCCAAAAGAACCAGCGGCTTCTCGAGCACCACTACTGCTGGGGAGGACTGAGCTGCAGGCTCCGGGAACTCGGTGGCCCCACGAGGACAGTAGCCACAAAACTGCCTTTACTAGGACCCAGAGACCACTCTGACGAGCCTGCCTTTGCAGCCCAGGCAAAGGCCTTGGGGTTCAGAACCAACTGGGTCAGGGGTCCCCGTCACTGCACAGGCTGACTGCCCTTGGGCTCCCAGCCACCCTGAAGGTCAGGTGGAGGGTGGTCCTGGTCACCTGCTGCCTGCCCCACCTCCCCCTGCTGCAGCCCCAGGGCAGCCCCAGTCGCTGGGTGTGGCTCCCCATGGTGGCTGGGCCACCTAACCTTGGGCCCTTCTGGGATCGCGCTCAAACAGATGTGCAGCTGGGGCCGGGGATTTAGCCCAGTGGCACAGCGCCTGCCTTGTAACGGCAAGGTCCTGAAAAAAAGAAGATGTGCAGCTATGGGTGGCGGCCTGCATCTGTAATCCCAGACCTCTGGGAAGCTGAGGCAGAATTCCAAGGTAGAGCCCAGCCTGGGCAACTTAGAGAGACCCTGTCTCTGAAAACAAAGGGCTGAGGATTTAGCTCAGCGTGAAGGTTCTGGGTTCAATCCCCAGGACCGCAAAAAAAAAAAAAAAAAGAATTAAAAGTGCATTTCCTTGAACTGTGCCTGGACTTGTCTCACTCTAAGCCTCTGTGTCCTCAGAAGAGGGGTGCAGTCCTCCTGGGTCCACCTTCCTGGCCCAGGAGTCTCCCTGCAGGCCTCTGAACCAGACTACTGGACATCCTAGGAAAGTCACTTAACCTCTCTGTGCCTCAGGGGAATCCAGTAACACCTGACCCTCAGGACTGTTGTGAGAAAGAAGTGATATCTTCCATACTAATAGGCTCAATACAGAGCAAGTGGCTAAGAAATAAGAGCTGCTATTATTATTATTAATAGTAGTACTAATAGTAGCAGTTGTTTTTTTAAAAAACATGGCCTAGCTATGTATTCCAGGCTGGCCTTGAACTCACACTGATCCTCCTGCCTCAACCTCCCGAGTGCTGGGATTGCAGGGGTGCTCCACTTTGTCCGGCTAGGCACTGCTACTATGGACTGGCTCATGGCACAGGGCCTGGCAGAGGGCAGATACCTGTTGGTTGAATGAATAAAGGAAAACAAAGTGCTATCTTCCAACAATGCCCAGTGCGAACTCATCCAAGCTACAGGAAACTGGACTGGTTTTTAGCATCTGGGTTTATTTTTCCCCAGCAAATTTGCAAATGAGAGTTGAAAAGCCTTCTTTGGTGAGAGTTGACACACCCACCCATGTCCCTACCTGGGCGGTCTCTACCTGGGCGGTCGGACCCTCCCACAGGCTCATGGTGGAAAACCCCTCGCCAGTCTGGAGCCACATTTTATACTCAAAATGGTCAGGATGCAAATCCAGCGTGGGCAGAAGAGAGGACCCCGCCCACGGCCTGCAGGGCACCAGGGCCGAGGGTGGAGGGAACGCAGGTCCAGCCCAGCCCAGCCACTGCGGTGCCCAGCTTGGCCCTCAGCCCATTCCAGAAGCAGACGTGACCTCTGCCCCCAGCAGCGAGACAGATCTGTCCAGTGCAGTCTCCAGCAGGCACTCCAGGGGCTTGAGTTCCTGGCGGAGACCCTCTCGCCTCATCCTACCCAATCCTGCCAAGAGCCATACATGCCACAAGGGTCATAGAGGTCGGCTGGGAGACCCCAGTCCCTGGTCTTCGTCAGAGCCCCTGCCCACCTCCATCACCACCCTGGCCTGGACCTGGAAGCCAACTCAAGCTGACCCAGGGGGAAAGCCCAGAACTTGCAGTCCAACAGACCCAGGCTCCAGGCCCAGCTCTGCTGCTGCTCTGAGACCCCAGGGCAACCGGGGACACCCCCAGAGGTTCCTCCAGGGCTGTCACCAGGATTGGATGGCACACTGTTGCTGTTTTCTGCCACCCAGCAGGGGCCCCATAAAAGCTGGGGAAGAGGATCAACAGACTGGCAAGGGTCCGGGAGACCGGGAGCGGCCAGGGCCCCCACACCCCATGGGTCAGGCAAGCTCCCAGTAGCTACCAAATTGAATACATTTCCCTTGGTTTTGTAGGAACATATCCACATCTACCCTGCATGTGCCTGGCATCCCGGAGGAAGTTCAGCCATCAGCCAGGTGAGGTGGGCACGCTGGTAATCCCAGCACTTGGGAGGCTGAGGCAGGGGGATCAGCTTGAGTTCAGGCCTTATCTACATGGCAGAAACCTTGTCTCAAAGAAGAGAAATTTACAAGTCCAAGGTCCTGAGTTCGATCCCTAGTACCGCAAGAAACAAAACAAAACAAAAAGAAAAATTTAGCTGGCAAATACTGTAAGGACTTCGGGACAGAGCAAGAAGAGAAGAGTTTGTAACATGTTTCCATCCACCATGCCAAAAAGAAAAGACACAGACGGCCCTTCCCTTCTGTAGGTACAGATCTGCACAGAATGTGGGGTGGGCGGTCCTGGGAGGGACCCGAAGTGAGTGTTGACCATAGATGCTTCCCTGTTCTTAACTTCTGACACCCATGCAGCAATACTGATTGGAAAATAAAGCCAAAATACTCATCAATGGCTTGAATTTTCGGGAAACAGAAATGTTTGTCTATTTTAGGAAACTCAGAGCAGCACAGCCCCGTCCCCGCCCTACCCCCAGGCCCGGGAAGTCCCGCTGAGCCCAGCGTCAGGGACCTGCAGGTGTCCCAGACAGCCCTGCAGTGAGCGGGGTGAGGTTCCCTTAAGCGACCCAGCAACAACTGGAGGAAGGAAGGAAGGGAGGGAGGGAGGGAGGGAGGGAGGGGAGGGAGGAGAGGAGAGGGAAAGGGATTTCTCTAGCGAGAAGGTGGGAATTCATCTGAGCCTGTGGGGTCCCTGTTCAGTAATTTGGGGCACAGCAGCATGGAGTGGCCCTGGGGTACCACCGCTTGGCCCTGCCACATGCTGGCTGGGTGACCTCCACCTTCACGCCCGATGCAGACTGGGTCCATGCACTTTGAGCCCAGGTGCAGGCAGAGCCCCGGGCTGGGGCGCAGTAGTCAGGCAGGTGGATCAGCTTTATCACAGAGCCGATTCTGTCCCTGGGAAGGGGAGGCCTGTGTGGAAAGGAGTGGAAGCCATGGGCTCACTCAGGTGGGCCTGTCCAGGTTAAGCTTATAGGGGAAAGTACATCAGCCCCACCTACACAGGAGGAGAGGAGGCTTCGACCCAACCGGGCGCCAGGTGCACCGGTGCATGCCTATAAACCCAGCTACAAGGAGGCTCAGGCAGGAGGGTCACAAGTTGGAGTCAAGCTTAGGCAATTTAGGGAGACACTGCCTCAAAACAAAAAGGGCAGGCCAGAGATTTAACTCAGTGGTGGCGCCACCTGCCTCCCAAGCGCAAGGACCCGAGTTTGATCCCCCGGAACCAAAAATTAAAATTAAAATTAAAAAAATTAAAAAAAAACACGGGCTGGGGTGTACTAAAAAGAAAAGTGAAAAAGAAGCAGGAGCGGCTTGTCTGAGATCACATGCTGTGCAGCTGGCTGAGGAAGGTCTCCCTGTCCCTGGCACCTCTCAGCTCCCCCGGCGCGCCTCTGCAGCCCCAGCCTCTGTGCAGCTCCCCACCCCAGCTATGTGACTGGCCCACAAGCTCCTACAGGAGCTCAGCGAACAGATCCCTCCTGAGAGGGGACCCCTGGCTGGCGGCTGGCCAGAGGCAGGCGGCCTGGACCCAAGGTGCTTGCCCACTCCCCCCAATTCCTCAGTCAGATTCACTCC